ACAGAATCCAACACCATCTCCCTGGGCCTTTCATCCAAAGTCTCATCAAATCTACCACAACCAGCCAATCATACTCAACAACAGCCTACCAGTACCAGCCAAAGCAACCGACACTGCAGCAGGTGTGGCGTCATCTTCCAAGGGCTACCTCTTCTAAGAGATCATTGCCATTGTTTTCCGCTGGAACTGTCTGGGAATTTTTTTTTTAATCCCAAACCAATCTGTTACTTTTTGTACAGTGTCGCCGCCCTGCGATGAGACCTGCCAAGACACAGCGGACCTGTCCCATTACATCATTGATCCTGAGTTCAAGTACCAGGACTTTGCCAAGAGAGGGGAGGTATCACAAATACCCACGTTCAAAGCGCAGGTGAGTCACGACATGATTTTCAATGCTCTGTGCATCAAAAAGTCTCTTGTTTCTCAAAAACGTTGCATAGTATAGTTTGCAATGTCAGTTTCTTGTCTCGGTTATTGTAAGCTGTTAATTTGTGAATTTGAGAAAAGCTCATCTGTGCGCCTCTCTGTGTTGAATTGGACACTTGTGACCTTTTTTGGACTGTCCAGTTTCTAGGGCCAGTTCTGCCATGTCACTCCTTGATTTTGAGCCATTCAGTCTTCCACAGTTTCGAAGCTAAAACGAAACCACATGGAAAGTTTTCCTGGAAAACAGTAACAAACTTTCAGCAGACCGGAGAATTCGCTGAGTAACGCTGGAAGGTCAAGTCCTTTAAGCAGTCAAGAACAAAAAAAAAATCATGTGGCCTTGACCTCCGCTTCCTGTATGTTGGGAAGAGGAAAAAGGACTCTCGGGAGATGAGGGAACAGATAGGGGAGCAGTTAGTCATAACTTGAAACTAGTGCTCTCTATGACTTAGCAGTAAGAGTTCTGATGATGTTAGTCAGCTGTGACAGAACGTGACAACAACTGTCAGGCCCACTTAGGAGAAGGCAATTCCACTTGATAGATAGCTGTTTCGAAGGTGGGGGACAACACGGCACTTGTGGAGATCTTGCACATGTGCAAGACGACCGATACTTCCCGACACGTGTTACCAGTTTTTTGGTACAAAGTGTTACTGAGAATTTGTTGTGACGATCAGTCATTGTTAATATTGGCCCTTCAAGACACTTCAACGTTGGACTAGCTTTAAAAAAAAAAAGGTTCATGGGTTCCGTGTTTGCACGGGATACCGTGTCCACATCTCCCACAAGTTTCCTTGGTAAGCTGCATCATTAGTGGTAGCCTAACAAATCTGTTTTTTCCTACGACAGGATTATTCTTGGGAGGACCAGGGATTCTCGTTACTTAATCGTTACTACCCAGATGTGGCGCCCATGTTGGATGACAAGTTCAGGCTCGCTTACAGTTTAACCTACAACACGTAAGCTGCAGAATTGTTCCAAAACATCGTAGGGCTAATGAAAGCTATACACAGGGCTTTCCAGATTGGCTTTGGTTCTGTACATTACATGGCGGTATTTTTCATAGACCAAAAACGGTGTTGCCAAAAAAGCCCCGTTTTATTCCGCGTTTGTTTTTGTGTTCTTTCTCCTGACAGAATGGGCAAGAAGGAACAAGTGGACACCTCCCTCCTGAGGCGAGCCATCTGGAATTATATTCACTCCCTCTACGGCATCCGCCACGACGACTACGATTACGGGGCCGTCAACACGCTGATGGACCGGGCCCTCAAGACCTACATAAAGACGGTCTGCTGCTACCCGGAGAAGGTCACCCTCAGCCACTACGAATCCTTCTGGAGGGATTTCAAACATTCTGAAAAGGTAACGCCCCTCTTTATCCCCCATCCCCTCCCCCAATCCCCGAGTTAGTTCCCAGATTTGCTGGGTCTGTGCTTGAATGAGTCATTTCTCAGGATTTTCAAGATTTCAACCCTAAAACTGATGGAATTTGGGAAGTTTAATTAGTCGGATTTTGTAACACTAAGTACACTTGGCAAAAATCAAAAAAGATTCGTTATAGCCATTTGTGAGAGAGCCCATGCCTTGCTACTTGTTAAAGGCCTAGAAAGCGGCAGTTTTTCATTTTCATCATTACAAACCGTGTTATATGTTATGTGGATTTTTCATCTTTTAATCTCGCTCGTTACCTAGCAACTGTTACCGGCTTTTGGCCAGCGGGTCACACTTAAGGCATTCACCTTTTCCTCAGATTAGTTGATTTCCTTGTTTTCTCACTTCTCAATTATGTCATTAAAACTTGAAAAACACTGTACAAAGTCTTGTAAAGATTGGGATTGCCTCAGTTTTTTTTGTCAAAGTCAAGTTGCATGCCTGACACTTGTGTATTTATGCACATATATATGGAACAGCAGCGTGTTCAGCTTGAATGTGTGTGAATCTGTAAACACTTCACTTTTTCATCATCTTGCATACGTCGGCCTTGTGTCTTGAACACTATTGCCTTCAATTTTTGGGGTGGATAATATCTTCCCAAGGGTATGCAAGATTCCCTGTGCCATTTTGTCACCCCCCACCCCTTTGTGTACCCACCTCGGCTCTGGTCCCGCCTGAATTTGGCAGATCCTCATTTTTTTATTCTGTCCCTCTCCGATTGCCTTCCTGGCAGGTGCACGTCAATCTCATGGTGCTGGAAGCCAAGATGCAGGCTAGTCTCCTCTACAGCCTGCGGGCGGTCATGTGGCTCTATACCAGATGACGCAGCTGGCTTCCAAATGACTCCTCGGAAGAAAAAACTGCCACCCGCCACCAGTCTCTGTATGATAATAAGAAAAACCAAACTTCCTGAAACAGCTGATTGACTGTTGGCTCTTCTGGTTCCAGAGGAAGCCGTCCTGTTTAAACATACCTGCCTGAAAGCAATACTGTGTTCATGTACATGTAGTTTTGAAACCTGCGAATTTTCTTCCCCTCTGCAGGGTAAATGGCTTATAAACAGGTTTAATGAGGGTTAGGGTTACATGGTTTTAAAAAACAACATCACTGTTACATATAGATCTTCCGGGGTGCTTTATTCCCAAAGATGTGTTGCAAAGCTTGAAGATTGGCTGCGGCTGTGGCTATTGGCTCTTGTCTGTCAGTGCAGAGAACAAAAGTCGTAGCCACAACACAGCTGGCTTGGAGGTAGCCCAGTCTCGTGTCCTTGTACATGAGGCATGGACGAGAGCAGATACTGTTCAGAGCGGCTTTTAGCCAATCAGCTGTCATCCTGCTCCGCTCGCAAGCTTTACAACCAATCAGGGGCCACTTGTGACTTTCTCATGTAAGTGAATCTCAGTTCAAATGCGTTGATGTGTGTGCGCGCTTGTAAATAATTGGGAATTCCCTCTCTTCGGTCAAACCGGAAAGGAATGCCGCCTGCCCGCAACGAGTAAATTGTTGTTGAATGTTGAGTTTGTACATTGTTCAGATGAGGAATGGCACTATAAACTAGTTGAACTAAAACAAAATAATTGAACTTGCGAATTCCTGGCTTGTGCTACCTTTAGCTTGTTATGTTTGCCTGGTGGATCGTCCTTTCCTGTTTTAAAGAAATAATGATAAAAATCATTACAATTGTAAGTAAACAACAGTTTGTTAAAGCCAGCATTAGTTGAAATTTTAAAACCCGTAAGCAACTGTTTACACATGATTAAAATCGTTCCACTGATTGGACTTGTCTATATGCATATATCCTACGATCCCATTACAAAATCTTATATTGCCCTCTTGTATTTGTTGTATCCATTAAGAGCTGTACAGTTGTTGTAAACAGTTTAAAAAAAAAAAATCTCCACGTAAACGTGGTTGTTTAGAGTTGATCGAAGCACAGGTGTATAGAACGTACAGTGCCAGTATTTGTGTTGTTACAAAGTTTGATCATCATGCATCTCTGTTTGTGTTTCTTGTTCGAGAAGGGGAACGCCTTTGTCGTGAAATATTTTTTGACTGAAAATGCTTTTGCAGTGCATTGGGGGACATTTGTGGCATTGGTTTTTATTTTTTTTTTGAGTGTGAGTGCCGTTTGGATGGCTGGTACTGCTCTTTGGACATCGTACGTGTGCACGTAAAATGTTGACCTGAGTTTATCACATCATCAGAACGGTGGTGGTTATTCCTTTTTTTGTGTTATTTTTGAAATGTGCAATTTCTGCTCGACAAAATGTGTTCAAGTGTTTTACTGTAAAGCTTGTGGCTCGTTATTACCACAGCAGAGGATAGGACTGATCAAATTACTGGCAAGGTTGCCAGTTAATCTTTGCTCCAAACACTCCTCGATCTGCTGGAGCACCTCGAGTGCGGAGCATTGCTTTCCCCTGTTGATCCCTTCTCTCGTGGTATTTTCAGTCAAAGAATATCATCATTGAAGTCTTCTGGGGTTTGGGTTACAGGGAGTGTTCGTGTTTTGGGGGTTTTTTTTTTATGAGAAAGATCACAGACTTCGTGTTTAATAACGGTGCAGTTAACAATGTGTTATTTTGTTTGTACATACAAGAGCCTGTACAGTGTTCTGCTTGACATGATGTATAGCGACAGTGTTCATATCTGTTATTACCTTCAGCATTGGGTGTTTATAGCCGGGAAAGGGGAATATGGGGGGGCGTGAGGGCAGGAATCCGGGATTCCTTATTTATTGCCAAATATGCAGATTTCAACCAATCATTGAATTATTGAAGAATTGTTGCAGCTGTATAAATCATAAATATTGCTCTCGTTAAAAAGTTGTTGTGATTGACTTTAATTGCCCAAATGAACAAAAACTTTCTGTCGAAGGGCCCCGGCGGATGTATCCCAATTATCCAGTGGTGTCTTCATTTGTTGGTTACCATTGGGCTTTGGGTTTCACAGCGTCTGGCTTTTTTTGTGTGGGGGAGGGGGGGTTGGTCAATGAATGTAAGGCTGCGGATGACAGATTGTGTCGGTTGTAAGTGGGGCGAGATTGCTTTCGTCAAATTCCTCCCGAGGTTGAGTAAGCATCCGGATGGAATGCTGCAGGGAGAGGGTTGATGTCGGAAGGTGATGTTTGTTTTTTTGTTTTTTCTTCAGAGCTTTGAATAAAGGGAACATTTGGGTTGAGCTTCATATTGCATGGTAATTGAAACGTCATAAGACCCATCCTACTGATACAAATTACGTTTACTGGTGTCGACTTTTTATCGTCAGTGAGTCGAGATGTATGCTCTGGTACCTTGTGATTATCTAGAATCCTAAATTTGTTGCATGTTTGTCCAGGCACTAGTGTTTGGCAAAGCATGAGCACTTCGTTCGCGGAACAAACTATGATTAAGCTTCATCTTACAATGAGTACCTCTGTGATTTGTTATAGAACCAAAGATATAACTCGGCGATGTGTTGTGGCAGATTACGACCATACTTGGCAGTCAGTCATTTTTTATTTTTATTTTTTTCTTTGTGTGTGTTTCATTTCTGCTTTTTTGACATCTTGTTACGCTTTGCCAGCATGTGTTTAACGAACCCATTCCTCTGAAAAGGCATTTAAAAGATGAAGAATATACTTTCCAATTTTCACTTATGCTGCAAGTTGGCTTACGAAGTTTCCTGGGTCCTTTTGTGCCGTGCTCTAGTGTACAGTGTTCAGGTGTAGGCCAACTAATAGGTGTATAGTTGTTGGAGACACTTATGTTTCAAAAGAATCAGAGATGATGTTCATTTGGAGGGGTGGGTCAACAGGGGTCACATTAATTCAAGGCTGTTCTGACCCACATCCCAGGGCCTGGTAAGTTAGGTGTGGGTATCACATTTGAGGGACAACAGTATTATTGTGATAGCTGGAGATTTTCCAATCAAGGACCTGCAGACTGGAGTGGAGTCTATCCCTAGCATGGGACACTTGGTCACCAACAAACTAAAGTTTGTCTCATATCATTGTAGATTAAATAGATACTGACTGGCTTGAATTTTTATGACAAAAATACATTGTTATTGTGCGTTCATTTGTTTACCTTGATCGGTTATTTTTAAATGGCATTTCTGAAACTGCAACACCAAATTATATATTATATATATATTTAATAATATTGTTTATGAAAATGTTATTGCTTCATTTGTATGTTTGATAATGATTTACAAGTTTGTTTTTTTATGTTGTGGCATGCCAAAACTCATTTTCCATGTACGCTTATGTCATTTTGTCCATTATCCAGCAGGCAAAACTGATTAACTTTTGTTCTACGGATAAGTTTAGCTCTTATCTTCGCACTTCTAACAGTATTCATCAGAAAGGTTAACTTCTCATCGAACATTCGGTATTAATGTTTAGGTTCCAACAGCAGAGTTTCATATTGGTTTGTTCTGTTTGTTTTGATTTTTGGAGCTACGTTTTGGTCCACCATTCCACCAATATTTCTGCTTTGTTCCCAAATATTTCCTTAACAGAATACTGTGAAATAAAAGTTGAGGCTAAATGTCAATGTCAAGGTTATTGCCTGTCATTTTATGAAGTATTTTCCCCTCAGAGCATGACATCCATGGGGCAGCTATGTCCCACGATAAAGGGTCAGCACGGGTCCTGCCGAATTGGTCGGGCATAATTTGGGTTTCCATTAACAAAGGCGTCTTCTTAAGGTTCTGCCAAGGGTTCGTTGCACAGCAGAAAAAGATCCTAACAACCGTGGTAATAGTTAGAACATGATGTGATGTTTGCCATTAATCTAATGATTGATCACTGAATTCGAGGGAAGCATGGAAAATGGCTTCTGCCACTCAATGTTGTGCGACACTGAATTTTGAAAGGAGGCATTCCCTTTCAATTTTCTATCTCGTCCCCATTGGGCAAGAGACCACTGCCTCTTCACAAATGCATGGATTCCTTTCATAGTTAAAATAAAATGTAGAATTGTATGGATGCACAGATCTTTCCTCATTTGAAGCAAACTATGGGACAGAGAGCACCCCCCCCCCCTTACTGTTGGTCAATGTTATAATGGTACGTGAGGAATTCCTTTCAGACATCCGGGGGGGGGTGTTAAGAAACAAAAGGTTAGAGTGTGTCTAGGGATTGCACTTGGGGGATATCCCTCTGCCCATTTAGTGCCCGGTATATCTTTCCTGGAGTTGGCTTGATCATGCAGGTAGAATCTACCTCCATGCCTAGATATCCACAGACGTTCGTCATTCACTCAGCTGATTTGCATATTTCGTAGACCACGTGAGGTCGCTCTTTGTCTTAATTTCGAGCGGCTGGTGAGCGCTGCATGCTGCACTGCGAGGAAAGACGAACGCCTTGACCAAGGCTACAGACGAGGCAGTTCATCGTCACATTTACAAGTTTAAGAGTTATTAAGCCTGTCTGATACTTAAGCCTGTCTGATGCTTAAAATGTGACATTTTTAGTATCAGACAGGCTTAATAACTCTGAATGTTACTCCGAGTCTGGTATATTGGTACTTGACTGAAACTGGACGATGCACATGACGCTCTTTATGCGTGCAATCCACAGAGCCCCCTAATGCAGCATACTAATTGACTTTCACTTGACTTTTCTCATACACTATTGCCAAACCTCTTTGTTGAAAAATTTCAGATTGTTTTGATCATGTACTGGTACAATAACCTTTATGATGCATGGTGTGGGACCTTTGTGAACAATTTCAGTATCATGAAATTTCGTCCAAATTTTAAAAAAAGGTGGTGTCTGGAAATTGGGCACGAATTCAGCTGAGTGTTCACCTAACGTGGTGCACTTCAAAATTTCTCCGGAAATCACACACAAACATTTAAGACATTCTTTGAAGTTGATAAATTCTAATAAGCTATTATTACTTCCACCTGCTTACCTAACCAAAAGTTTGTTGGAAAATTATTTTCGTATTCTTGGGCGAATTTTAAGAGTTAACTTTGAACCTCTGGGAAAAAAAAAAGAAATCAAGCCAAAATAACATTTCACTAAAACTTGTTGCGGGCGATTAAAAAAAAGATATTTGAATCCGAATATTTCAATTTTGATGACATTTCACTGATGATAAAATCTGAGGAAAAGTATTACTCCGGCAAAGGCTCTTGAAGCTAAAAATACAAGAGTGCCACGTTAGGGGCCGCACCGCCGGGGTACATAAACAGTTTAATGGCACTGAAACAAGTAAAATACTTTTCTAGTGAGTTTAGATTTGCAGAAATATGCTGCTGAATCATTTATAAAAGTCTAGTTTCCAGCTGATAATTATTCAGTGATACGTCCAATCTGCTCTGCAGTACTAAAACGACTAGGAAGGGTACACGCTTTGTGGGGATAATGATTACAAAAATTGTAACAAGCCTAGGCCTATATCTATGTATGTACATTTTAAAGTGTACATACCTTTTTCTGGTGCCATTCAAGGCTTTATTTTACGTTACCCCTCATCATGGGTCTACGGTCGAGGTTAACTTCAGGTTGGAATTCTCAATGGGGATACTGACTTGCTGCCCCAAAATGCAGCAAAGTGGATTTCACTGGTTGTTAAACTTTGGCTTACAGTGACGTGCGTGCATAGGCCTAGATAAATTTGTCTAAGCAACGTGAACCGTGGAAGGGCGTACAAAAAGTTTAACCAATCACATCACAGATGGGTGACTGTCGTCACTGCATTAATCCAACACGCGTCATGTCACGCGCACGAGCCCCTCCTGGGGTCTTTTTGCATTTTTCTACTTAAGTCATCCCCTACTTCCCCCGGCACAGATTTACGCTGCTGGTGTCATATCAGGAGAGCACCCCGCCGACTCCCCCGCTGTTGGCAAACACGCCACTTTTGAATTTACAGTCATGCAGATGTGCGATTGCTTTTAGCATAAAAATGGTACAATGCGTTGAGTTAGAACAGCGCAACACCTCACCCACAGATTCTGTATCTCGATTGGCCGAAAGTTTGTCATGTGACGCTTGCTAGTTTTACTATTTTTATACCGCCGCTTCAAAAAGACTACTTTTCTTACTTTTCCCCTACAATACAACGCAGCCTCATTCTGAAAAAGAACTATACCCGTAGCAACCAAAGAACTATATCCCTAGCAACGAAAGCATAGGCGTGTATTTCGGCTCATGGCGAACAACATTGGTTAATGAATGTATTCAAACGTTGCTGTTCCGCTTGGAATTCTTGAATTAAATTTGATGAATGGAAATTCCAGTTTGGTGTTTCATTATTGATTTTTAGCTTAAATTTTGCAGAATCTGTGGGGAGGTGTTATAAAACAAACATTGACTGCTTTATCTCGCGGTAGGCCTACAGTAAAACTATACCCTCCCTCGGTAATCCATGAAGCAATCTACTTTCCCCCGGCAAATTTTACTATACCACTCGAAGCAGTCAATATTTGCATAATATCACACTGGTTGTTGCCATGGATCTACCAATCAGAATTGAGAATTCAAGTTTGCCTGCAGAATAATGCTCAATGCTTGTAGCCTGCACACCAAATCTCACCCGGTGTTTTTATTACACAACTGTCCGGGGATACACCATGTACTTTCCTATGGGAAAATAGTATTATTGTCAGTCTTGAGAAGAGAATGGTCTCCACGCCTCGTGAAAGCTTCACCTGTTACATTGAAATGTCGGACTTTACTTCCCTTCTGATAGAACTCCTCCGTACAGCCTTTATTCAAGTTGAGTTTCCCAGCGTGCTGTGTAGAAAAAAAAATTGCTGCCCGACTTAACTCCTCCCTCTTGCACCGTATCATCTGCGTGCAGCACAAAGGGTGAGAGGAAGTCTAGCTCCTTCCATTGGTTTGCCATCACTGTATCTCTTTAATGACGCAGATTAGTTTTGTAGAGAACGCGTCGAGAACATTGTATTTACTGGTGAAACCTCTAAAGCACTTGGTTTGACACAGTGAATCTTTTGTTGTCTTTTCGGGAAAAAAATAGCCATGGGTGTTTGGGGCTTTTGCACTGGCTTGATTCTGCTGGTGTCTTGCGCACCCCGAGCCTGCATCGGAGGCAGCGGGAATCTCTTCGTTACCCACGGGGCGGACCGAGCACTGATCGGCCACACTCTCCTCAGCAGACCGGCTGGGTCCCTGGTGGCATGCGCGGTGCAGTGTCATAGGCACGATCGCTGTCTGTCTTTCAACTTCTACCACCACCATGGAACGTGCCAAATGAACGACGCCAGAATGGAGGAATTCCCAGCAAGCTTGCAGGCGGCTGTTGGTGTCTTATACTTCGGTGGCCTGGAAACTTTGGAAAGTGATGCACAACAGCCGGTAAGATTTAAATGCCTCTTGTCATATCATTTTTGTTCTCAATTTTTTTCAGTAGGTTCAGAATATTTGTGGTGATACAAAAAAGAAAACCAAAAGTGAAGGATTTTGTTCAAGTTAATTTCTGCGGCATTAACCCTCGCTAAAAACTATTCAAGACATCCAAAATGCTAGCGCCTTTCAAAAGTTATCATTGTTACACTCTAAACAAACATTTTTGAGGGGTTTTTGCCAAAGACATAGTGCCATTTCAAAAAAAAAAATCATGATTGGTTTGTCAACAATATAGATTTTACTTTGTCAGTGGACGCAATAAAAATGAGACGACAGTGCACTGCTCTGTGCACTGCATATACGCTTTATCAGGGAAACACAGTGACATAATAGGGCTTAATTTCTGGGGAGGGCACGTAGGGAAGCACCTTTTTTTTCAAGGGTGCACCGCAAGAAAATAAGCTGTGACTGCATTAGTGACAACGGACAATAGTCAAATTATTTCGGGGCGGGGACACCTAGGAGTCACGGGCATCCGCTGGGGGGTGCCCCTTTGTATGCCTCGTAATTACGCCACTGGAGGAACAACATTCTAGCAGGTCTGATGAATGGAAATGCATTTAGCGCAGTATTTCGAAAAATTAATCAATTAAACTCGACGGGACGAGGACTGTTGTGGGGAGAGGTTGGGAATTCTTTGTTCGTGCAAGGGGGGGGGTCTGTACTGCACGTAGTTGTCACCTTTGTTAAAGCCACTGAATATCTGTTTTGTCCTTAACCGTACACAGAAAAAAGGCCCCTACAAGAGGTCGTCCAGCCTTTAGAAAATAAAAAAATAACATAAAATAGAAAGAAAAATAAAAATTGGCAAGAACGGGGGAGGTTTGACCCCCAGACCTGTGTCAGAGATGTTAAACTAACCAGATTTGGAGATGGCTAAGATTTCCTGTAACCACGGAAGTACATTCTCCAGCCGTGTACTTCGCTATTTTCTCCTTTTGGAGCCTGCAATTTGTCGCCAACACCACGAACTCGCAAATAAGTCCTGGCGTGGTCAACTTCGTAAAATCCGTGCAATGAAAAAGTGAGGTTTCACGAACTAACGTATAAAGGCACCTTTCATTAGGGCGCCTTTCCATTTGTACGTCTTTGGGTGAGTTGCGTGCACGATTCGTTTATGCGTTTTACTTTCACGGACACAAAAAATCGACTCGATTATCACAACACACGTGTACCTTGCGTTGGGCCGTCAAAAATCGCCCCAGGTGCGATTTTGACAGAGTATGCAACGCTTGGCACAAGCGTTGATGAGCATTTATGGAAAGGCGCCTTCAAAGGTAAAGGGGTTACGCTCACGCATTTGGCACTCAAGGCGCAGAGTTCGGTTTTTAAGAACTAACACACTGTTTTAGATATAGAGGGGTTACAAATCAAATGGAATAGTAATATTTGACACGAATTACCCATTCGTAAACTTAATTTCACTCAGAATAATTTTTTAGTAAGGAAATGAACAGAAGATTTATTTTGAGAAAAGAAATAATCCTGAGACTTGTGTTAGTTCGTGAAAACGCAAACATGGAACTGTCGGTTCTCTGCGCAAGGCACGCCTTTTTGTGTTAGTTCGTGAAAACAAAATTGCTGGAACTGTTAATTCTTTGCCCAAGGCGTGCGCAAAGGTTCACCTTTGCGTTACTTCCTGGTGTCGGTGGCGAATTTTGGTACCCCTTTACGGACTAATCAGAGCACGTGATACTCCAACTTGGGCCCCCGTGGAATGATAGAACGCTTGAAATGGCGTCGCCTTTGGCCGCGTCTGAATGGGAAACTTTGAGACAGGCCGTCCCCTGGGTGGGGGTGGGGGAATCGGGCCCCCTAGGCGAACAGTCCCCCCCCCCGACAAAACCATCAGCATCTAACGTATTGCTCTTGCAATGTGCCCCAGTAGATGGTACTTTGGCCCAGCTCTGCCCAAAGCTGGCGACAGCGCTGTGAGACGTTGGTGGCAATAGACAATACCGGTTATTTTAGCAGTGTCAAATTCATTCTTGGCTCGTGTTGTTCAGCCTGTCCAAAGCCATGGCCTTGGGAAAGCCTATACATAATGTGTTGGTCATGCAGGCTCAATTACTGATCCTACACGGATCGTTAGGTTGATGAAAGTCAAGATCTATTAGCAGTCCCCTAATCACTTTTTTAATGAGTTGTCTTAAGACGATAATAATGATAATAGTAACCCTTTCATTTTTGTCAGGGTATATTGGATGAAAGTTCAACAGCTAGGCAAAACGTCGTGACGAATCGACCAACGGGCAGAGGTAAATTATCTACGATTGTTTTTGTTTCAAAACCTCCCCGTGATGCGCTTTTTAAAAATATAATTCGCTTTCCGGAACCAAGCCGAAATATTGACTTGTTATTCAGGAAAACTTTGAATGTCACACCAGGATTAATTTCTGAGGACCATGCCTCTGGAGAAGTATATAAAAACTAGACTGAAATTCTACTGAGAAATTTCAGAATTGCTTTAGTTCTTTTGATCTCCCGATGTAGAGACGTTGTGCAGAGTTACACATTTTGTTTAAGTCTCACTTGCACATTATTTTACACATGGTCACATATAGGCCTCAAACCGGGTAACAAGGCTACATCTGTTAAAATTAGCCTTGAATTTTATTATGTTGCTGGACATTTTTGGTATCTTCCAAAATCCAAAAGTCTTCCCCAAAGCTTTTTTTGGGGGGGGGGTATTCTGATGTAAATTTACATAGTCATAAGCAAATCTGTGATGTCATCCCAGACACTGAAACTAAACTGGATTTTCTGTCGTGTTATTGTCGTGTAAGTATCGATGGCAATAAGCCAGTGAGCAACCCTTTCTTAGAAATGTTTTAAAAGCAAATTTAGAATTCAAAATTTGAATATTTTGAACAATTTGAAAAGTGTAAACTGAACTGAGTGTTTGCCATGATTTACAACATGCCCTCACTTGTCTTTAAAAGGGTAGACAATTTTCAGTGTTTAGAAAGTTCACTTTTTATACTTCTCATTCAAAAAGATTTTAAACAATTGTCACGCATTGAAAAGGAGTATAAAGGCACACCCAACGTGACTCTTAGAAAAATTCATTGCATGATCCTTGAACGTTTTCACGTCTCTCTTTGAATTCTTTATTTTGAGAGAGCTTAAGAGTAGGTTGGTACTGGCGCCTGGGTCAGAGTAAGGATTTCAGAGCGTTGGTAATCCTGCTCTGACTGGATTCTATTTTCATCACTCTTGCAAAAACCAGGGGCGGATCACGGATTGTCCAAAAGGTGGGGAGGGGGCGTGAACGAAAGCAGCAATGGTAAAATGCCCAAGAGCGCGCAGCGCGAAGCTCTTACCGTGTGAGGTGCGGGGCATTTTTCAGGTTTCAGGTTTATTTCCATATCTTTAGTTAATCTAGAAGTTAACAAAACTAAATTTATAATAGTATGGGGAGGTCAGACAAAAAGCAGAAGCTTTTTTGGGTCTGCCTCTTCAAGGAGAATACATGTAGTTGACACAGTTCGGAGGGTAAGACATTAATAATACAGAAGTGTGATTGTCCATTTCACTTATGTTTAATAAATTCACCTGTAGAGAAAAACCATCCTAATCTTTAGTCTACAACTCTAGTTAGAGCTTTGTCTGACATAATTGCAGAAATGTTGTATATTATAAAGATCGTATACAGATAAGGTGTGGAATTTGACAAATAACGGGGTGGAGTACATGATCTTTTACATCTTAAGCATTAATCAGTCGGATTTCTTCTGACTCACAATTTGTCAAGTATGGGGTATAAGTATTTCCCTAAGCAAGTATACCGTATTGAAGATGTGGCAAAGATAAGGTATTGTAAATCGAAAGAAGAAGACGAAAAGGGACAAAATAGCTGAATTTTCGGAGAACACTTACATTTCGAGAAATAAGAGTAAGAACTTTCCGGCAATGAAGTTTCCATGTTAACTTGTCATCAACACAGGCACCCAAAAATTTACAGGAATCCACATTTTAATGAGATTATCTTTAAAACGAACCCTTATGCTTTTGTCTACATTCCAATTCGTAAAAACCATAGAGTGAGTTTTCTTAAATTTCAAGGATAATTTGTTGCTCATCAACCACTCAAAAAAATTAGTTACTCACTCACTGTTCTTCAGATCAACGACATCATTTGAAGTTTTCCCACTGAAGAATATATTTGTATCATCCAAAATTAGTTTAATTAACCCTAACCCTCCTCAATCCTTCACCTGTTGGAGGATTGAGGAGGGTTAAGGTTAACGTAAGAAGTTGTCTGGAATTCCAAATATCATTAATGTAGATAAGAAATAAGATGGGCCCTAGAATTGAGCCTTGGGGTACACCACAGGGCTTTTTATTTTGCCAGATGACGTATTGTTTTCTATTTTGAGGTTCTTTAAACCATTCCAGAGCGGTACCACCAGCACCATGTGATATGTATGTACCTTAGAGATAAGAATATCATGGTCTATGGTATCAAATGCCTTCGACAGACTTAGGAAAATACCAAATGCATATTCGAGTTTGTCTGAACTAGATGTTACTTTATCAACTTCAGCGATAAATTTAGAGTCACTGGTGTCACAATTATTAAACTTCACAGATTGACAGGGCTTGGCATTTGTATATTTTCTATTCAAAAGTTCATTGATGATTTTTTTAATGTTGGTTTTCTCTTGCTCGAAGGACGTGGAATAAAATATTTTCCTGGATGCTCTAATTATAGAAGTTAACTTATTTTTTTATCTGTTCTATTTGAGTTTATTCATCTTTGAAGGATCATTGAAATGTATCTTTTAAAGTTTATTTATTTTTTTTTTCAAAGATTTTAACACGCCTTTCGTAATCCAAGGATTTTAGGCATTCATTTTACTACATCTACATTTTTATTAGGCATGGAATTACCAATTACTTGATTAGCTTAGATTTGAACTGAATTTTTGGATTTTAGGCGCTCTGTGGTGCAATTTCAGGCAACATGACCGCCTTTTTTTATTTTTATTTTTTCATTTACTTTTTGGGTGAAGGGGGAGGGGCTGCACCCCCTACACCCTCTGGATGCGCCCCTGAAAACCTCTCAAAGTTACTGGCTTGGTTTGAAGGATGTGAAGGTTTTCTTCTCGGGGATTTGTTACCTGCCGTGTACATGTACTTGAAGTTCTAATGTACTCATTTCTGAAGGTTTCCCCGTGCCACCACCACCCATACACATTGATACCTTGGCTCCAAAGGTCATCTGCCCCGATCCCGTCTGGAGCTACACCAGGAGCAGCCAAACTCCCGTCCAGGTCGTCTGGGCACCGCCAACCGCCTGGGATAACGCCGATGGTCAGATACCCCCGACTCAAATCACCTGCACGATAAACGGCACATCCGTTGTCTCTGGTAGTTCCGTCTTCTTATACAGTGGCGTCACGACCCCGCGGTGCGTGGCGTCCGACATGGCCGGCAACGAGGGCTCCTGCAACTTCAGTGTTACCATCAAATGTAATTATGGAATATTTCCCAAGTGCAAGTCCTGGAGGCCTCCCTTAATTTATCATCTGCCCAAGGTTATATTCCGCGTACAGGGTTGAATACTATTTGGCTTGATTACTACTAGAAATTATGGGTTTTGAGTAGAAATTACAGGGCAATTCCACGTAGAAGCGGAATTTGGTTGCTTTGTTACAAACTACACTAGTAGTCGTTATTCACAAAGAAAAAGACGTCCGTCAAACACCACAGTGAAAATAAAACTAAAGGCAATAGTACTTTTTATAATTTCCACTATTTATTTGGTCTCCCTAACCTTACGCCTGTCACGCATGACTGATTTCTTGATTGAACATAAAAGCCTTCTTTGGAACGGAAAAAATACCTTCTATCTTGCAAAGGGCAAAAAGCTCCGACATAGCTTCAGGCCTTTTTTTTGCTTTGTTGAGTCGTGGTGTGGCCCTTGCAATGGTCACCAACGGCTTGAGCACAGACTAGTCTTTTGTATATCTGGTAGCCTTCAGCAAATTTTTCACGCAAGCTTTTCTCTGAATTTATTCCCAGATTGTAGTGGTTGCCGAGCACTTGGTATGGAAAGTGGTGAGATACCAGATAACAACATAACTGCTACCTCAAGCTTAATGTCCGATGTGGCAAACTATGGCCCGCAACTCGCCCGCCTAAATGGTCCGAGTAAGTACGTCCAAGTCAAATATGCGAAAAGTGAATCTGCACGAGCACAGTGGTGGGAATGATTTCATTCGGTGGCAAATCGAATTTCCCAGTCCACCAGGACAGGAACATTCGTTGAACAATCATGTCATATGCCCATTGACGGACACAACACGTTGTGTAACGACATGTTCTCGCACTTATCGGGCCACGACAGAAGATACTGCGCCATTTAACGGCACCAAACAGGATTTATTCAGTGGTCACCTTTCGATAAAGGCCTGTCGAAAAATCCAGTGATTGACAACACGTGGCCCTAATGGCGGGGGATTTATTCACAATTAGCATATTAATATCGTGACATTTTTGTCTGTTTTTTTGTAACGAAACGAAGTTCGCGCTCCAATTTTCCTGCATGCAGAATCCTGGTGTGCCAACTCACCGCAGAGCGGCGAATCGTTGCCATGGATTCAAGTGAATTTGCAGCAAAATGTGAACATCTATGGTCTTATCATACAAGGCCGCAACGCCAACATGTTCGTGTCAACTTTCCTTGTAGCGTACAGCGATAACAGCCGCCAAACACCTTCCCCTTTACGAAAGGAATCCCAAAGCATCAGACGGGTAATTCACTTTATTTTTCCACTTCGTACTTACATAGAAATTGACGTACAGTTTGAAAGAAAATTACCGAAGTGTGTAGTCCTTTACATTTTCAATTGATTGCTCGTGTGTTTTGCCGCTACAGCCATTTGTACGCATGCGAGCATAATTATGAATTGAGCATATGAGAGGGGGGGTTCATTTTGGATGGATCAGGACATTCGGGAATGTATTGGGGCGCCCCAACAATATATAATTTGCATAGTTGTTTGTACCGACGTGGTATAAAGGGATTCCACGCGATGCTTTTTCTCTCTATATATACATCAAAAGCAGATAAACCGCACATGGGATGATAAACCACTGTGTTATCAAAATGGTTTAGACCACGCTGAGACAGTGCAATCAGTAGCGTAACTGTGGGGGGGGGAGCGTGCCAGTCCCCCCAACCTGGGTGCCTTCCCCCATTTGAAATCTCCGTTGAGTTTATATACAATTTGTTATAATACAGCATTGTGGTGCCCCCTTACAAAAATTGTGTGCACCCCGGATGGCCCCCTAGACATTAAATAGCCCTTCTTACGTCACTGACTTCAATTTCTTGCCACTCAGCCGTCTCGCTAGGTACTGTATATGACGTAACTCAGAGCCTGTTGGAGAGAGAGTGGCTATGCCTTCGATTTTTCCTGTATGGAGTGGTGAAGTCATTGTGGAAATTTTTTTGCACAGGTTGACGCCTTGTGTATAAAAAAAATAATGTACATCACTGCGTAGCCTACCACTTTCCGTTAACTCACCTGTAATGAAACATGTTTTCCCCTACACACCGCCACAGTTTGATTCGGCCGAGTCTGGGCAGATTGCGGTGCACGTCCCTCTTCAGTCGGCCTCTCGGGACTACATCACCGCCTTGACCCTTCGACTACAACCTGCTAACTGGAAAGCAAAGATCTGCATGCGCTTCGAAGTCATTGGAGTGCCTGCCGACCAGGAACCTTGATTAACTGTATTGCGAACGATATAAAGACTTTTAGAACTGACACCAATAACAACAAAATCCTTACCTCCTTGTGAGTTTGTGTAAATTTTCCTGTACAGGTGAACCTATCCATGGACCATTCAGAAAAAAAGTAATGATAACAAAGAGTTTTATTCCAAAATTAGATATACGCCATTCAAAATCGAGCAACGTTTCCACAATTATTGAATTTTTAAAAACAAACAGAGGGTACCAGGTCCCTCGTAATATTATAATTCACTAGTCTGACTCATTTAGTTTCCTTTTTCCCCACTGAATGAAACCCCCAGAAACTGGCTGGAGGCAACCATGAGAAGGTGAGATTCAGAGGACCAAAATGTCGCTTATCTCATCATTGGTATACCCAGGTCAAGTTGAATAAAAAATGATAAATAGATAGATTAATCAAGGCGTATTGACAAGAATATAATATAAAACCAGTGCTCTGGAATATGTAGCAATCACATTCCAGAGCACTGATTTTATATTATATTCTTGTCAATATTCTGTCACAGTGCTACGCAGCCTTCTATATGTCAGTGCATGTGTAGTGGGCGTGGTTTAAACTGAAGCGACGTCACACTTACGAACTGAATGCATGGTCTTTGCGTACACCCAGAACGCGTGCAGGAACCCATTTGGAAAACTTACAGCCATCTGTCTTTCCTTTGCCGCTTGGGGGTGCACTTCAACTCGGGGCGGATTAAAGCCTATGAAATGGCCTGCACACGTCACTCTCGTGCGCACGGACGGTTTCGTGATGTTGGCGAGCCTCATGTGTACGTACTTTGGGATGGCCCCTTTTCGTACGGAATTCCATATTTGCCGTCGCCCGTCGTCCGTCGCATTTTGCTTTTTGTTGTGTCCCAATTCTGCCATTTACCAGTTCCAAACATGCCATTTCCTGTCGTGCGTCACCCGTCGCGCGTCGCCCGTCGTGCGTCACCCATCAAATGGGTTGCATAGGACCTGCAAAAGCCGGGGTTTAACAAATGACAATGTGTTCTAAAGATCTTTTCCGAATAAGGCAAGTACAAATCCCACCTGCAAAGCATATACTAGTCACATAATTAATTCCAATAATGCTAGACTACCCCTGCCCCTTGACAAGAAAATATCGCCTCTTTGAGAATTCAACCAAGTGTTTTTTGGGGGAAAACTTTTTCAGCAAAAATGTTCCAGCCAACTTATCCACAGTGTTATTCAAATTTGCATACTGTAAAAATGTGCCGACTTGTTTTCATCAAATTCCAGGAAGAAATCTGCCAACCAATACAGATATTCCATCTTGTCCTCTCAATTTCACCTTGAAATCCAGAAATACTAGACGTGCTGTGGAGAACAAACTGTTTATTAAATGCATTGTTAGGGGGCAATTACCACTTGGTTTAAGTTTCAGAAAATATGACGTGTTGGTTTTTGTGGGTGTGTATGTCCAATGAGAATAGGTTGTCCAGCACACCAGCATTATTTATGGGGCTAACAAGTAACGTTACTGTTTAAAAGATTTCTGTGAGCCAACCTGCAAATAAAGTCATGTCTAATTTGGAGTATGCAGCAGATTTCTTCATAGGTATACCCGCCCTCAAAATAATGTTGAATCAGTTCGTCTTTTATGAAAACTATTAAGGAATCAAACATTGTAAATAATCTATTATTTACATTCCGTTCTGTGGGATATCGTGCAGGGACAGACAGAAATATTACATAGGCTGTAGACCTAAAGTCGGGCTGTTAACGAGTAAAGTTACGTCTAGAGTAAAGTTATCGAGAAAAACAATCTAAAGTCTGAATTTAACACACCTGTATGTATTTTGTGTCTTAACTCCTTACTTTCAATCGTCTGATCGTATTAAGAATTGAAGCTGACACATACAGCCTCGTTTTCAAACGCGGAAGTGCGCGGATCGACGCTAAAAGCGTCGTATTGGGGTCCCTCTATACGTTTTTCCATCCATCACAGCTACTAATCACGTCTATACGCCCGTTACTTCGGTTTGCCTACGCCTACCATGCATGTTCGCGTACGGACACCTCAAAATAAGCGAATTGGCAAAATTCCAAATTAAAGACCATTATGCAATTTGTTTCTGAGCTGAGCTCCGGTCTGTTGCATTTACTGCAACAGTCCGGTCCCGTTAAGACTACATGACACAGACTACATGTCTTTAGAGGGAATTTTTTGTGCTGCCAGAACCCCCCCCCCCCAAAAAAACGCTACAGTATAGTACGGCATGAAGCTATCCAGCCTGGACACTCACCGGACATGACGTCACCTGGACGCGTACCAGTTCTACTTCCTATACCAGCGGCGAATTGGCCAATGAGGCACTGCAGTTTCTCATGAATATCTATGGTGTAAATATCGAAATGATAGACTGAGCTGGCCTCCAATGAAAATCTCTATGATTATTCGTAGCTAAACTTGCTTTGAAACTCATTATGATTTTCGCATGTTGAATCCCTAAGGACTCCGGGTATTCTTCTGTCAGTTTTTACCGCTGAAACGATCGCTAGTACGGTTGGCGCAAAACGAATGTTTACCCCACACTGCGTCTCAGTGGGCAAAAAGTGCACTGCGATGATTTCTTTCTTTGAAAGATCTAAACCTTTGTTGTTTGTTGCACACACACACACAAACTAGAAAAACAAACAAACAACCAAACAAACAACCACCACCACCACAACAACAACCACAACAACAAACACAACAACAACATCAACAACAACAACCAACAAAAAACCACCACTAGATTGCTATAGGGACGTGGTGTGATTCGTGTGGTCTTGACCTTCTCGAAGTCATCTTGTTAAAATGTTGTGATCCAAAAATAAAAGTAATCAACTGTAGTCACGGTCATGGCAAGAAGTTTGTTCTTTTTGGTTCGAGGCAGGTTAACATAAAATTTTTAAAAGGTAACAACTCCGGGGCTGATCCAGGAACATTTCCAGAGCAGATGTCTTTTAGGTATCTGATTGTTGCTGACAGGCGGACACACGCATTACATTGTTACTGATACTGATGTACAAGTAATAACTCTAATACCGGACGTCATCAGTAATTGTTCTGTCTTTTCAATTTTTGATTAATTTTATTTTGTGTGTATTGGGGGGTGTAAGCGGGGTTGATCCTCTTGGATCAACGTCTGAAATAACTCTCGCAAGCTAACACTGAACATACAGTGCTATGAATATGACACAAGGCAAAAACCCGTTATTCAAAATAAACATATCCCTGACGCAAAGTACATCTTTGAAATGAAATTACTCTGTTAAGTCTCTGTGGAGCTAACGTACACGAACGTGTGTTTAAACATCTAGACTTTACAATGTTTGAGTGTTACTTAAGTCTGTCTAATCATATTGAAGAGTTAGATTGATATTTACACAAGCACTTAATTCTTGTCTGTATTTAATTCTTTACTGTATAGCCCGAGTAAACTGTAAAAAGTAAAATATGTATTTAATTCGTGATTATAAAAATGATACTGATCGTGTTAAAGTATCTTTCTAGTTACATTTGATCTATTTTAGTTTTAAAAAAGTCCTGAGTCTAAAACTAAGCTCATTGCTTTCCTTCTACATGTTTTTCCAGGCTTTCGAGCTACAGTACTTAGGGTACTTATGAGGAATCCTTAATTTCATTACCAGAAAGACTTAAATGAAATAGAAATAAATAAAGTAAGCTGTTCCTTTAGAGTCTGTTGATAGACGTTCCTATTTTATGCAGATTTTCTTCACACTAAACATACAGTCAGATTAATGATTGAAGACTAATACGGGTGTTTCACAATAGTGCGCCTCCAGAGTTTGCAACGCGTTGGCCAATCACAGTGGGCAAAATTTGTCGACCCAATGTGTGTTTTTAAAGGGTCGACAAATTTCGAGCGTGGTGATTGGCCAAAGCGTTGCAAACTCTTGGAGGCGCACTATTGTGAATCGCCCGTATTCCAACTAGTCGACTTTGGGTGGTATGAAAGTAAAAAAAGAAATATCAATGCTTTTTCGCAAAAGTTGATCTCTCGGAAAAGGTCCACATAGGTGAACAATGCCAGTAAGTAATAAATCCATTAAATTATTGTCAATAAAATTGTCAGTCTCTTTTTCCCAACTCTCTCAGTTTCGTAAGCGTCTTTGGAGTCAGAGCTTTTTTTTACTTGATGATAAACTTTAAAAGCAGTGAAAATATTTATTTCTTTTCTTTTCCATGACAGTGCTGTCCCATGAAATCCATTTTGAAAATCAGGTGTCTACACACAAAAATATTTATATACGCTGAGGAAAAAGTGTAATCACCTGAAGAGCATTTCCATGATTTAAAGTCGGTAACTATATATGATTGTTGTTTGGGCGTAATATTTAGATTTTCTTCTTCTTCTCAGTACTGCAAACAAACTCGAGCTCAAACGGGATATACTATTCAGTGCAGGTGTACGGTCCTTATAGTGAGCTCCCCTGATTAAAGCACGGTCCATGTTGATTAATTTTGTCTGCAGCCTGTCAACTGTAGTAACTTGTCGTATGTCTATTGGCAGTAGGCTCCCCTCAACCATCCTTTTTGATGGTGGGGGTGAACAAAGGAAGGTGCAGTTGATTTACGTTAATTTTTTGACCGTGTGTTCACCGTCGTTGATTTTTTTTTAGCATGTTCAAACATTTCAGCCTTCTATGTTTAAGTGGCATAAATTTGTCCCGGGAAGGGGGAGGATGGTGGGGGGTGGGTTAACTTGTCCGCACACTAGGGGGCGGGATATTAAATCATTCCCCGACATTTTTAGATGAGGATAATTAGGCAGATTGTGAAAGATTTTTTTGACTTTCCCAACAACAAAAATGTATTCAATAGAACTAAGGGATCAAAGCAATTTTTCAAAGCTATAAACAACAAATACACAATTTTTAATGCAAGGTTCCTAAGTAGTGTAATACGGTACATATTGGATTTTGTCAAAAAGTGTGAGTGTGTGGTTCTCGGGATTTAAATTACGACCATAGATGTTTCTGTCATACAGGTTCGCTCATCGCTGGGCACAAAGTAGCCAATCACAGTGCAAAGCCGTAAGCCTCCCCCAGCGCTCTGATCTGAGCGACGAGCGAATCGCGGAGGTTGGAGACCATGTCACTCTTGGTGGCGCTCTATAACTTGTGCCTTTCACGCGAGCTGGTTCCGCCGTTTTGTGTGTGAATATCCAACATTTTTGTCACGAAAAAACGGCCCAAAATATTGTTCAATGCCCACTCATTCAGCGTTATGTTTTATTGTTTAGAAAGAAGTAGAGTCAACCAATGTAAAGAATTTCTCCAAAATTAACTAACACGGATGGGGTTCGAACCCATGAGGACTTACGTCCATTAGAACTTAAGTCTAACGCCTTAACCACTCGGCCACCGTGTTCCACAGATCCACAATGGTGATTTTTAACTATATTTATGCAATATATTTACCATTTTCCTCAGCCCTCAGATTAAACCTTTATAATACTACGTAGAAGTTTAAATATTTTTACATCGGATAATGAGTGCACAGTCTTGCTTGCAACCGCGCAGATATAGGAGCACAGGAAATGACATTACAAAAAAGCACACTGGTCCCATTTTGGACGTGGCTAGCTCTTCAGCCTTGCGTGCGCAGCCCAGCTGCTCTGCTGGTCTACGTCTACGTCTACGTCTGGGCCCGGTCTGGCAGGGCAACAAAAAAGGGACCAAAGCAGGCCTTAAAGGCATAAATTTGTCATATTTCTTTCGTGTCCAGAAAAGCCATTCATTCTAATGTTGTACTCAAGAGTGATACTAAAAAATGCTATTAAGATTTGATGGGGAATAATAAGAAGAGGCGTTATTTATTTTCTGGAGGCAATGTTGCTGCGGAAACAAAACAACGTCACGTGACTTTTCTAATGAAATGTAAGTAATTAAGTCTGGCACCCAGACTCCCGTACACGCTACAGCTCATGCCCATGTCAATGTGCGCTTGTCTGGGTTGCCTGTGAGTGCGAGGCCGGCCGGACGACGATGTAAGTACAGATATTACATCGCAGCAGTGGTATCGTGGTGCCGAAGTTCTAGTTGTGAGATGCGAATTGTTACTAATACTACCAGGCCTACCAGAGAAAGGACAGTTATTCAATTCTGCTTTCACCATCGAATCAATTCTACTTTGACCATCTGATTTTCGAATTTAGGGAGTCACAAACGCCAAACAATCTTGACTACTAGTACTACTAGTACTAGTACTAGTAGTACTACCACAGTACCAGCAGTCATACATGTACATGGCAGTACCAATGAATGGCCGCTGATGATATCTGGCTTTCATCATGATTACTGTGTCACGCTGGTCAACTTCAAGATCATGAATGAACATGCTGAAGTCCGCTGAAGTCTGTGTACCCCACTTCTGGGGGTAAAGTCTGACAATACATGTATTGTACACATTGTGTACTCAAGCCATGCAATACCTCTTCAAGTGTCTGTGTTTCCTGGCTCTCTGCATAGACTTTGAATGAACAACACACAAGGCAGCTCTGAGGCTGAGTGTTGGCATAAACTTTCTTAAAATCCTTGCCTTTTTCTGTCATCAGGTAGGCCTACATGTACACCATTATGACAATTTAGCATTGTTTATTAGGCCTACCGTAAAGATTTCCATTTACGGGCACCACTTGACACCCTGTGCACAAACCCTGAAACTGGTTGTAAAAATTCTAAGTAGGCTAAGACTCACTTAGCAAGTGTTTTCTAAATGAATACCTCAGTAGGAGGACGTAACTTGTGCACTTGAGTCACGCAATGTGGCGTCTGTGAATATTTTCACTTCTAAATGCAATATTTTAGGACATTTTATTGATTTTGGATGGCTGATGGGTCATTGTAGGGAAATCAGTGGTGTCCATATATGGAATTCTTGCTGCTTAACAACCGGAATGAGTGAGCTTATTCATGCACACAAAAAATCTGCGCGATATTTGGAGCTTATTTTTGAGGGCAAACAGCAGATGTTGATTGCCAAACAATTCTACTGTTTACTGATTGGACCGGAGACCACTCGACTGTTGAGACAACTCGACCAGTGGGACCAAGTCATCCATTTATTAAGACAAGTCAACTTTGACTGTGCATTGCGGCAAATGTACATAACCAGCTAGTGCAGTGCGGGGTATTCAGTACAGATTGCCAGTTGATGCGTTTGGGCATTTGCATGTGTGATGGGTCGACCTAAGTGGGGCATGAATTGCACAGAGACCTGGTGGGCCTGGCACGCAAGGGAACTGGTCGACAGCATTATGACTGCTGAGACAGTAAGATGGTGAGGCGGCATGTTTGGTAGTGCAGAGCACTATCCACAGCTTGTAGGTGTCCTACAAAGATCATTAGTACTTCTAGTCTGCATGTGTAAATCCAACCAGTGCCTTACATATCAGCATTGCATTTTTATCGGTGTTGGCTAGTATGCCAGGACTTAATTTACCATCTTCATCAACGGAAGGGCATGTCTTTACATTTGATGCGCAGATGGTCGAATTGTCCCATCGGTTGAGTTGTCTCGACGGTTGAGTTGTCCCGTGTCTAGTTGGCAAACGGTCATTCAGGAACTTCTGCACAGCATTCAAACTCGTACAAAGGAGTTTGGCCCCTTTGCCATATGATGGCATGCTGAACTCAGGCCAGCGTGACGTCATGCTGACCACAAGAATGACTAAACTTGACCTGGTCGTGAACTTGCAAACAAGAGATGCAAGCCAACTGCACAAACAAAAAGAAAAATGAAATATGTGCAATATTATGTGAGATTTTATTTGAAAGATGAAAGAGCTCATATTTAGGATGGGACAATTGTGAATTGTTTGGGTAGGAAAAACAAATGCAATCCACTCATCTGACCTGGGGATCAGACAGTGATCATTCACACTCTATTAACTGCTTGTGCCAATCACCTGCTCCAATGGGAGAATTAAGCATATCTGCTCGATGCCATGATGTGTTACTGCTTCCATGTAATCTTAGTCTTATGAAAATACTTCATGTCTAGAGAAAGGGAAGGAATTTTGCTATGAAATGATTGGGCTCGGTCACAGAAATTTCAGAGTGGGCCCTGCAGAGCTGTGAATGGTATTATACTGATCTTGACTTGTATCAAGTTGTTTTTGAAATTTGGACTTGATCTGCGACTGTCTGTCCGTATCCCTCATCCAAGGAAGAATTCCATGTTGACCATCACAACTTTGATTGTGTACATGTAATTAACACCAAAAAAAGTTTCTAAAAGAATTTCGGTGAGAGAGAATGGTTTAGTGCTGAGGTACAATAGGAGGATAGAAACTGGGCAGTATTTATGATGCTTAAAAACTGTGAATATGGAATTTTCCCCATGCAGATTTGTATTTCACTCTCCATATTGTACATGTATATTTACAATTTTCACTGTATTAGCCCTAACCCCTTAGGGTGTATGCAAAATCATATTGAAATTGGAGGATTTGGGACTGTTGGTGTTAATCAATGGTATTTTATTTCTCGGAAATATTTTACAGGAAGGGAATGTTTAGCTTGATGGCCAACTGTTTCCAGTGGATGAAAAAGAAACGGGAGCCGTTCAAGTAAGTGGTTTACTTTCCAGAGTCAGTGTGGTCACATCCCAACTATGACAGTCTCAAGTGGGGACGATCCTAGCTCCAAGAGAGTAGGCAACCATGTTGAATCTAAAAAATGAAACCTTAATTATATACACATCACATGCATGATTTTAATCTTTCACTTTTCTTTGTCGGTGTTTTTAGTGGGTAAGTAAATAGTTTCCCAGACTAATTTCTGATCAAATTTAGAGATCAACTCTAAAGATGGTACTGAATTGTATCACCTTTTGTGGCACAACCCTGTGCCAGCACGCCTGGTTTTGCCAGACTTTCACAGCAGTACAAGCTTGATGTTTGATTTGAGACACCAACTCCTCCATATTTGAAAAGCTTCTAGTTTGTGGGCCGTGAAATGCTCTGGTAGCAGAGAATTAACTGGACTGCAGTGGCTGGAGCATAGTTGGGATTTCCCAAAACTAATCTGTCCCAGTTTGGACTGTCCCAAATCTAGTTGGGATTATTGCCAAAGTTGGGATGCAACAAATGCATGTATTGACATTCACATGAACATAACACTTTGAATTTCTACACTAAAGACGCTGTTGCTATAGCTCGTGATTCGTGGCAAGCTTTTGCCTAGACATATGAGAAACGCCTTGCACCAATACACTTTGTGCAATGGATAAAAAGGACACAAGGGAACCAGTTCATTTTACAGATGGAGGTCGCTATGCAAAAGCTTGCCCTAAATCATAAAGTATAGCAACGGTATCCTAAGTCTGGTGAATTCAAAGTATGCTTATGTGCAATCAGATAACTCAGTGTACCAGATTTTATTCAATTTAACTCACAAAGGCTTATTTGTAAATCATCACGTGAGTAGGTCATCTATATTTGGTTAAATACACATACTAAGTCTCATTTGTTTGGTTTGACTAAATTATTATAGTACTAGACTAAACTCATCTTGACAAATCCAATTTAAAAGTGAGAATAGTCACACAACTTTTCTTTTAATTAAACAGCTTTTGGTAAAATGATGGAAGACAGATCCAGTCATGTTGAGCATTACTTGATGAAGAGGAACGTTTGACTGGGTTAAATGAGAGATCATGTACCATTAGTATGAGGGCATTAGTGACCGTCTGTAAAAAGCCTTTGTCTTGAACTAACGAGCATTAGAAACATTGAGCATTTGGCTTTTTTTTTCAGGAAAGTGACCCTGGCTCTCATAGGTCTTGACAATGCTGGCAAAACGACAGCAATATTAGGCATTCAGGGAGGTAAGAGCTTCTATTTTGAAGATCAAGTTGAAGATCTTTGCTCATACACCGTCGTCTTGGAGCATTTCTTCCTTACTAATTTGTTGAATGAATGAGTTCACAGATTAAACAGTTGTAGGTCACCCCATCAGCTTTGGGACTTTGCTTCTCTAAGAGACTGCTGTTTAATCAAAGACATCATAATATGGCTCTGAAAATCGATTTTAAAGATGCAAGTAGCGTGCTGTGGAAGTGTTTCCTCAAGAGCCATCAGAGTTTATGACCTGCATGCTCTGTGCAAAAACAGAACATGCCACAAAGTTCCTTTTGTGAGGGAACACGGTACAAATGCATCAGTTTGTATGGACTTTCTGGCAGGCCGTGCTGAGCTAGCGAGACCACACTCTGGTGGAATATTTGTTCTTTGCGTGGGCGCCAGGTGTCCATTTGCCAAAGCTCCTGTCAGTCTCTTTCTCTGCTTTGCCAGTGAAGGAGTACCTCCAGTCGGGGCGACTGGTGTTCCCTCACCCTGGTTCACGCCTACTTGCGGTGTGGCATGTTGATTTCACTGGAATGTGCACAAGCAGCGCGTAATTTTTCTTTTACGTTTATCTGGAAAGCATCTTGATGAGGAACGTTCTTGAATCTCCCCAAATCCGCTGCCCAAGAATGGGAGACCTCTGAGATGCTTGGTGGGGGAAGACATTCACAAAGGTCTTTTTCTGTTGTTTTTTTCATAATTTCGAACATGCCAACATTACCGGTACCTTAGCTCAAGTGTGACACAGACAGCAGAAAAGGACTGTCATGTTTGCTGCCACCAGCATCTCAAAAATTTCCCGTTGAACCTAGTAGCACATTCTCTGACTTGAAAGGCCGCTTACTGTTTGATCTGCATGGAGCCCTTTGAGCAGTCATAGTTTGGTAATCTGTTCGAAACAAAGAACCTTCTGGCATAATATTTGTCCTGTCTTGTAGTTCCCTTCTTCTGCAACCTCCTAACTGGTTTGGTTCCTTATTCCTGCAGAATCGCAAGAGGGCGTGGCTCCTACTGTGGGGTTCTCCAATGTCCAGTTCAAGTTTGAGAGGTTTGACGTCACCGTCTTTGACCTCGGCGGCGGCAGGAAGATCCGCCCCATCTGGAAGAACTACTACGCTGAGATCCATGGCTTGGTGTTTGTAATCGACGCCAGCGACGAGGCTAGATTACGGGAATGCCAGGAGGTTCTGCAGGAGGTCCTGAAACAGGAGAGGGTTGCCGGGAAACGCATCCTGGTGTAAGTTGTAACTATGGTGGCCCTGATGGAACATGGAGACATAACTTTGTTACCAAAAGCTGCATATTTATTTTAAGATACCATGACTATGAATTTCTTTTATGATACTGGAATTTCTTTTCAAAATGTGCCAAATAAAATTGAGAATTTCATTTTGGTCTGACAAAAACTCTGGTTTCAATCAATTTCAATTCAATTCATCTTGAAAGCAGATTCAGGAGTTCCCAAATGATGGCAAATACCTGTATCTGAAATTCCCAAGTGAATACTGCCGATGCGATGGTAGTGTACCGGTCACATTTACTCTCTGGTACCTTTTCCTCCTCGTGCAGTAGTTTCGTTGCTCGCATGAAGTCAATTTTTTTTTAATTGGGCAGTCTCGCCAACAAGCAGGACAAAGAGGGCGCTCTTGATGAGATAGACATCTGTGATCAGCTCAACCTTGAAGACATGGTCAACGACAGTAAATGCCCCTGCCGTGTGGTATGTATCAGCTGTCCATAGTTCATGCACTGACTTGTTAAATACATCACTTTGACCCTTCTTTTTTCACTTCATATGGACCAGATACGCGGAACCCCCCATAATCATGAAAAATCATTAAAGATCCGTCAAAATCATATAAATCACTGAATGTTGACCGTGCTGGAGGGCGTCACATCATAAAAAACTTGATCCCATTTCCAGACAACCTGTCCTTGCTTAAGTTACATGTATGCACTTGTACTAGTAAAATAAAATTTCATTTCCAGTGCAGTCCAATTTTTTGGTGGCATTGATTCTTCCTTTAAAACCTGAACCTCAACAGTCCTCCGTTTTTGTTTTGTTGGAGGAGTGGGGACTGTTTGGGTTAATAAAAGTGGAGTCCTATTCATGGCTTTCCATTTCAATAGCATCCACATCAAGCGAATGGACTTTCGGAAGAAATCTGGCAGTTTGTTGATTAGGGGAAACTGAGGGGAGTGTGGCCTAGTTAGTAAGATTTGTGACTTATGACCAGGGGGTTAGGGGTTCAAATCCACCTGGTGGTCATTGATTGCGGCCTTCGGCAAGTCACTCTACCCCCCTTTGTCTTTTCTTGGGATGAGAGGTTCGAATCCTGCTGCTGGCCATTGGCTGTGGCCTTGGGCAAGCCACTTCACTCCTGCCTGTCTCTCTTGGGATGAGGGTTCGAATCCAGCTGCTGGCTTATAGGTTGTGGCCCTCTGCAAGCTACTTCACTCATACTTGCCTCTCTCCATCCAGGAAAATGTGTATTGGCTGACATATGGTGGGGAACAGCCTTCAATAGATTTGCAATCCATTCGGGGGAAATAGTAACATCCTCAGAAATGTTGTGCCAAGGAAGCCCAGAGATACACGTAAACTCCAGCGTGATCAGCCAAACTGGCTCCACACAAATTTGTTTTCAAAGTGGGCGTTTCTAATTCTTTGTTTGGGGTGTGCTTTGCAGGAGACGTGTTCGGCCACGCAGGGCATCGGCAAGAAGATGGACAAGTCAGTGACGATCGGCCTTCAGTGGTTGCTCCACGGTATACTGCGGGACTGGCCCACTCTGAGCGCACGTGTTGCCAGGGAGATGGACGAGCAGAAGGAGGCAGACGCCATCGAGAGGAAGGCCAAGCTGGAACGGATACGAAAAAGACGAGAAGAGAGGTACAAACAATTGTTACAACATCACGGGCTAACTTTAGAAATAGCAGTCTAAGGGAATGAATATATGCATACCAACTGTATCTTCACCATGCGGGAACTAGAATGAGTTAGGCTGCTTTCAAGCCTGTCGCTCGTGTTAACACAAGTATACTCCTGATTGTATGAACAGAAGAAGTATGACCCGTGGTTAAGCGAGAGTATGCTCATGATCAGGCCGAGAATACACTCGTGTATTACGCGAATACACTTGTGTATTACGCGCTTGCATGATGTGATTGGAACGTAATGCGCGCCTAACATTTTCCTGCGTCCAAGGGTATCAACAGTACCTATCCATTAATTTTGTGCATGTGGGACGGCTCGGTATAACAAAGACACTTTGTCTCCACTCAGAGAACGTAAGGAGGAGGAGGAAAGAAAACGCCTTGGAGTGGAAGCCCCACCCGAAGACGACGAAGATGTCATCATGGGCGACCCCTTCAAGCCGGTCAACAAGGAGTACTTGGATGAAAAGGTCAGCCAGACGTGTTGGCTTTTCACACTGGCAGTAGGTGTGCCAGAGTTGTCTTGTCATCACTTGCCTTGGTTAGATAATCTCTAGTTTTCTCACTCTCACTGGGGATTTGCTAGATGCCTGTGGGTAACCGTTGATAACCCCGATTATCCTATGGTTGGTTGTTTTTGGTTGATAATCTGAAGTTATCTGATTGATCACTTGCCTTTGGTGGATAATCTTAGATTATCAGATTGATTACTTGCCTCTGATTGAAATGCCTAATTATCTGATTGATTATTTTCTTCTGATTTAAATGTCAAGTTATGTGATTGATTACTTGCCTCTGATGGAAATCCCAAGTTATCTGATTGATCACTGTCCTCAGGTGGATGATTCCAAGTTGTGTTATGGTAATTTGTCCCCATACCTTTAATGTGCAATTTTGCAATTCTGCCCGTTAAGTTTATCTTCTATTGTCACATAGTCTCATTCCCAGAGTTTGTCTGGCTGTGTGAAAAAAAACACTTTTAAAATCTGCATTACCCAAAATATTTTTGAGTGAATTTTAATGTTTTTTTTTGAAAAACCAAAAATGTGATATTCAGAGATTTAGCAGGGAATTTTTTTTCCGCACAATGTGTTTGCTCATCAAATTGCGTTAGGAAGGATTTGTATTTTGACAGTTTGTCTTATCTTGAATACAGGCAGAGAAATCCAAAAAACTTAAAGCTAAAGAGAAGAAAAGGAGACAGGAGTTGGAGAGGCTGGCGAAGGAAGAGGAGATCGCCAAAACCAAAGACTCGGCAGAAACTCAACAGCTCCCCAACACGGGCCATTCAGATGTGGAACCCGATATCTCCCAGAAGGCAACTGACCAGTCACAAAACCTGGACCAGAGTGAGGAGGCAGGGATGCGGCTTGGCGGCGAGCAGAACGATGACAATGAGGAGACAAGGGAGGGGCAGAGCAAGAAGGAATCAGAGGAGGTGGTACAGGCCGCATCGACAGGGCAGGATGAAGCCGATATTGTCTCCCCTCAAGGTGGGCATAAATTCTCATGCGTCTTCATTTATAGATTGAAATTATCCATCCACAAAGTATAATAGGCTTTAACAATCAATACTTGGTTGTTCCACTTCACCATGTGGACCATTGCGTCAGTTTTTTGCCGTCAATTCCGTTCACCCCACAGGCAACTTCTAATGTAAATGTTAACACGAATACACACATGTTCCCATACAGTCAACTCTCTTTTTAACAAGGCCGCTAGGACCAGGTGAATTACCTTGTTACAATCACAACCTTTTCAGGAAAGGGCTGGAAAAATACATAAAAGTATAAGAATTCAAGACATTTGGGCTTTCAGAATGTGCTCTTTGTAACAGCATGTTTTTTTTAGAATCTACAGTCCACCCTGTACAGTATTGTGATGAAGGGAATGACATTGTATCATATGTAACTTTAATAAAACCTGACATGAAATGTCGTCAAACATAACGAGTCAGTTGTAGTTATCAATGTATGCATGTTTAACCCTAACCTTCCCCAACCACACAGAATTAACCAGTAGTAAAGTATTTAATTCTGTGGGGATAGGTCTGGTAGGCCCAGACAGCTGGCTTTTGCATTGGGTTTGGCATACCTCAGANTTAGGGTTAATGTCTGGTAATGCCTTGTACAGCAGAAGGCCTACTTGCACATATAATGGGGTGCCTTGTTTTGGATGCTCGAAATTCTAAGGAGAAAAATCCACAGTAATTCTGAATGAAATTCTTTGCTGGAGGTTTAAAAAAGTGGAGTTTTGAGGGCTGTTTATTTTGAGTTTTTGAAAAATGTCTAATACATGAATCATACTGAAAAGAAAATTGGCTAACTTTTGTTTTGGGATGAGTAGTCATACAGAGTTGACGCGATAATAAATCGGTGAATTAATGTTTAGGTAAGTATTTGCATTTGAAATACCTCCCGTCCAAAGCATATAAAAGGAAAAAAAATTGACAGCAAGTATGGTACCTTACCTCTCATATTTGTTTTTGTTTCTATGAAATGAACTCGGGGAGGAATCTGTCACGATTAGGGTTACATAGCTTCGAATGTCGGTTTGATATGTCAGTGATCCCTAGTCTGAATCCAACTTCGGTATATTTTCTTCACTTTCGTTTCGGCAGAGGTCCCAGAAAAGAAGAAGAAGAAGAAAAAGAAAAAATTAAAGAAGACCAACAAGTTGGCCCCTTTGGCCCTGGACGGACCCCTTGAGGGACCAAGAGGCCCCCTGACGGTCCCCTCGTGGGCCTCAACCATGAACCAACCGCCTCTCTCACGGCCCCTTCACCAGCCCACACTGGATCCCCTCCCTGAGAAGGTCAGCCCCAGGCTGAGCCCGCTGGACATCAAGTCGTCATGTGAGTAACAGTATTATCCAAAAAATCCCCAAGCACTTGTGCCAGGAACCCTCTGGAACCATTCTTCCAAAATACATTCAGAATCATGACATATGTTGTAAAGTAATGGTGGCAGGCTTGTCTTTGCCCAAATCTAACCAAAATCTCCCCAAATTGGTGGATTTTGAAAAATCTTGGAGGATGAAGTTTCATCAGGAAATTCCTCAAGTTCTGTGTCCCAGAATAAGTGACAGAATACATTTGTCCTGATCACAAATTGGCCATTCCTACTTATTGATGGATACCTGGCCACAGGAGTTGGATTACTCCTTATATAATCCTGTTTTTTCCCCTGGAAGCTGGTGTGGGTGATTCTAGTGAGAGTCGGTGTGCTTGTCAAACACCTCCATGCTAGATACACCTGGTTTAGTCAGTGGAATCAGACCGTGTAATATCATCTACATTTCCCACTGGTCCATGTGTGAGCACTGTTTGCAGTGTCGTTCAGAAAAAAAGGTAACATTTCATGTTACTTTTCATGAGGTACTTTGAGTTGAAATGTATGCACAGACATCGGTAGGAAAAATTCACCACCTTCTGTTTGATAAGTCCATTTGTTATATATTTGTCTCCTCGCTTGGACAGGAAGCCAAGTATACTTACACGGTAAACTTTCTTTGTCTTTGTCCTGCAGTGAATGGTGACAAGTTAGTGGGTTTTCCGTCGAGAAGGAACCAGCCAAATCTTGAGCAGGATGACGACGTGATGATGTGATTCGAGCAATGATAATTCTGGAGCTTAAAGTCATTGAGGGCATACCTGTATGAATAGCCTCTTGTTGCCGTGGAATGGTTGCTAGAAAACTGCCTTAAATGTCACTGTGGGGTCAAATTACTGTATTCAGGCTTACTTTCAGAACAACTGATGTTGTGGGCCCTTTTTGTACTTATTTGAGTCACAGCAAAGTCCATTATGTCTTTTTTGCGAGATCAACATTTCCAACCAAAGACTTCATTTGATGTCACAATACAAAAGGCATGTTTCTGAACAACTTTTGGGGGAACCAGCTAAGGTTTTATTCAGTACTTACCACGTTTGGCTGGTATTTGGCCAGCATTGAGTTGTATCAAGTTGGTCATTGGGAGATTTGTTTTATTTTTGGGAAGCCTTTACAATCCTGAACAAAAAATGTTGCCAAAATGCTCAAATTTGTCAATATCTGGAAACCCTGAGTCAGTCTATTCACATAACACCGTTGAGATTTCTTTCCAAGGTTCATGATGCAGATGATTAGTTCTGAAACACGGACGGCAATGCCACACTGAAACTTGGAAGGTTAGCATTTCCACAAGAGGGGTCCCGTCTTTGAAAATGAGGGAAATGCCAAGTTTGCATTATTTGTTTGTTAAATTATTCAAAACAAATGCATTCAAACTTTCGTCACTTTTTACTCACCGGCTTGAGATTGGAAGGAACACTCGTTACACCTAAGACAGTTTTACCCAATCCTATCGGTCAAAAGCCCATGACTTGGCCGGTGTGAGGCTGTACGCCACCTCACGCAGTACGTGCCCTGCACGCGCCGGTCTCCATGTCGTAAAGAACTTGTTTACAACTACTCACGAGAGGAGCATGCCGTAATGTGGCCAAAAAAAAAAGAAATAATATTGTTGGAAAATATTGATCGGAATTCATAATTTTTAAAACTTGGTTTGACGTTGTGACGTCAAAGATATTTATGAATGGGAATAAATCTGTGCACTGATTATGCCCCCCGTCTTCGACTTGTGCATTACCAGTGTCCCTTTTCCTGACGTGGTCTTAAACGGCCAAGCACATATTTAATAGTGGTTGTTACAACCCATTTCTTTGCCCGTCCAAAGATAAATTAATCAGTGCCACTCCTGCCATGGGATGATGCCTTTTATGTTGGTTTATCCCTTAGGATGTTTTTCACTCATCTAATTAAACATTCCATATTCATTGTTGTATTGAGTACTTTTTAAGTACCAAGGTGCTCTGCCAGACATGGAACTGGGTAAGAGGGAATAAAGCCGGAGTGCACAGGTTATTTGATGGTAAATGTGCAAAGGTAAGATTACTGCATACTAAATAAAAAGACTTCAGACACTCCCTGTTTTGTAAAATTTAAGTTTGAAGGAGAAAAGTACTCGGAAAGTGCTCGGATGGGTACTTTTCAGGTAATTTTTGTCCTAAAATTTTAATTTTTATGAAACACTGATTGTCTGAAGTCATCATTTTACTATGTAATCTCACCTTTGAGGACTTCCATTGTACCATCACATGCCCATGTACATCAGCTTTGTTCCCTCCTAACGAGTTAAAGTTCTGGTAGAGAACTTGGTACTCGAAAAGTACTCGACTACAACACTGTCCACGTTTCATTACTACCGTCTTACCTTCACTTTGGAAGGGTATTTAGCTTTGACAACCGACTGTGGAGTTTGTACTCGCCTTGATAAAGGAATAACATTTTGAAAGGAGGGAATCTCTTTTTAAAGCCAATTCTTCATTTTGCAATTGGACTCGAATCAACTGACTTCTGTAAATTCTATGGAGTTATTTTAAGTAGTCATTGTTTTGTGTTTTCAGCTTTTCGTCAGGACAGCTGTTGTAGAAATCGATATTTAAAGTAAAAGTCTCTGTAAGTACAAATTATTTGGATTAAAAAAAATGTGTTTCAAAGATCAGAATTAAATTTACAGTATTCAAGATGGATGTCTGCTTGTTTCAACTTATAAACTCAACATATGTCCTCCTGTACAAAGTTACTTTCAGAAGATAGAGTCATCCTTTGTTGTAACTCGGCATCAAGTAATGCGACAAAATAACTCACACTGTAATAACGTCCTGGGCATTTCTCAAATGTGTGGCTTTGTCTTTAGTTTAAGATCATGATGGAGAGAAATCCAAATGCTTGCTTTGAATAATAGCTTTCAAAACTTGTGTTGTCAGTCATTTTGAGCTGAAAGCTTCTACATCCTTTGAGAGATATAGGTTGATTTCAATCAAAGGGGCTGGAGCAGGTAACTAAATATCACAGAGCAAAACAACAGCAAAGTTTCCAGACTTCAGTGATAACACTAGTTCTCCATAATGTGCTGGATGTCTTATTTAGAGCCATTACTTGCCCACGTGTAGGTGTCAGAACGGAATACTTGTTCCATTTTGCAACAGCTCTGTCGTGAACTACGTGCTCATTAAGAAAGTTCTACCACACAGGGTGCTGGCAACTACATGTAGCATTGAAGTCTTGGTGTCCAGCTTACAAGTGGTAATATCACAACTATTTGAGGAATCCTCTTTGACTTGGATATTTGACTCACAACAAGCTTGGCAGAGCTACCAAAACCTGATTTTTTGTGAACCATGCTAGAAGTCACACCATGATGGACCAGGCTAGCAGCTACAGATAGGCACATGCCAAGATGTCCATTGCATGTTAGTGCTGGCAGTTAGACCATGGAGGAAGGACACAGACATGTAGGTCCTTCAAAACATGGGACTATTCCATGAGTCCAATACTGAATGAAAGCCCACGTCTTTCGGAGAAACGACAGATATGACCTGCTTTGGGCAGAGAACAAGCACACTTGGCAGCTACAAACAACATCAATCCATCTGGTCCAGGATTCAAGACATGTTAAAGGCAAGCAATTTTTTCCTTTGTGTATTGTTATGCTACATATATTTGGTATGCAGAACATCATCTTCACACAACGATCTATAGGCACTCTTCTCTTGTAGGACCGTTACGCCTTTTGTTTCATTTGAGTTTTAATCTTACAAGGCAAATATTAGTTCCCTACCCAGCCTTAGGAAGTTGTCCATTGCACACTCTCCGAAGTGGAAAGTTGTTTCGGGAAGGATGTTGCCAGAAAATATGAAATTCTCCCCAATTTTGGCAGTTAAAGACTTGTACGATCACCAGTGTCTTAAACGTGAGGATTACACATCTGTCATATGACATGCATGCCAGTCTGAATATGGTGCATTGAGGCCTTCATCTAACACATGCACAATGAGAAATGCCTTGTGGCATCACGTAGTGAAATTTGGTCACACCTGAGACAAACAAAATTCTTCAAGTTCCACAGTAAACAGAGTTTGGGTGCGACCCACCTGTTATTACCGATAACCATCATTCTCGTCAACATGGATCTGATGTTGCCCACGTTTCTGATCAGCATCTGGGCAGGGTTTACAAGCGGAAAAAAGGCATTGCAAGATATCACCCAAGCAAAGCCCTAGGCAAGGTGTCCACATAAAAGATTACATCAGAGAAGTTTAAATAACATTTACAGTAATTACAAGTGCATGAAAAACTACTTTTGCCACGACTGCCTACCAGCAACTATCTAACATACACACATTAATGTCAACATGATGTTGTTTGTCAAAATATACAGCTCTGTGTATGCACAAATCTACACTTTATTCATATGACAGCTTTGAGATCTTTTATGACTTCGTTATAAAAATATGGAACCTCATTAACAGTGAAAGCCTATGCTGGATACAGCTGCCTGAAAGTTACGTAACTTTTTTTTACTGCTAAATATACATGAACAAGAAACAGCACAAAGCTTTCATGTGCTTTGTTTCTTCAGAGTTGCTTACGTATCTAAATTCATGGTTACTACAAAAGCACACTTTTGCTTTAAAGCACACCTTTTCATGCTTAACAGGAAACTGATACAAGTGTAAATTTACAGGTAATAGGAGGCAGGTGAACTTTGCAGAGAGACCGTATCCTGTCACCACTTCTGGTGTATAAAGTCTGTGACGAGTTGACAACATTTTCCAAGTGTATTTTCTCCAACAACAATTTCTACTGCCAAAATAATTTCTTCATTTGTGTACCATAACTGGGACTGGACATCCCACAAAAAATGAGTCCAAAAGACATCCCCCCCCCAAAAATTTGCTCTAAGTTTGTATTAGAAACGGCAAACCGAGTTCCTTAGTTTGATACGTCACTCGGTCAGCATCGCGACGGAAACAGATATCATGCAGTTGAAAATGACATGTACAATGCATTAAGTGGTTCCGCTTGATATTCAACTAGGTGAGATTCGTGTAATGGCTTGTAAATATTAAGTAGTACCTTCAACTCATTCAGATATTGGGTCCTAAACACACTGGGGACTTCATTTCTCATGACCCAGCGTACCCCGTGTTTCACAAATAAAACAGTTTGCCGTACACCGTCGCTGGTACAACCTATTAAGTTATTTAGTGCTGTGACACAGAGTAATTGGTAGGGATAGGGTTTATAACTGGTAGGTATAATGGCAGACTACTCGCTGGGAGCGTAACAAAGTACAGAACAGTAAGCAGACACTAAATGCGACAATTTTGCTGGCCATGCTGTGTGATACGTTCCTTCGGCATTCACTAAACAGTTACTCTGGCATACTACAAAAAGAACGACATTTTACACATATCACAGTTACCTGCACATCTACATATTGTTATCCTTACCTAGGGTTAAAAACATATTTTGTTTCCATTGCTTTTGATACCTCAGGTTTTGATTAACCGGGGAAGAGCTGACTGCAATAACGGAAGACTGTGGTGTGAATTAACCTCAGTCTGAGTAGCTTTGAATTGTTGGAACAGTGGGAAGACTACAGAGTACTCGCCGTGTAGGGAGAAAAAAAAATATCCAAAAGAAATCACAGAAATGATAAGTTACAGACCTCAATGATTGCATGATTCCAGCGCTAAAAATCCTCCCCAAAAAAGTGCTTGGGATGTTGCGGTCTGATTTCCTGCTCCTTTGGACAGCGATGGGCAAAATTGGATGGTAAGATTGTCCCATTGGCAGGCTTTCATGACCTTTTGGAAGAGGGGTTAAGATTTAATTTGAAGCAGCTGGTTCGGTGTTACTTGCAGGAAGCAGTGTTTTATATTTTAAACAGGTTTAGAGTGCTCTCCTATGGTACAAAAACGTAGATCGCATGAACCCGGTCAACTGTTACAAACATGGCAAGAATGGCCTTGCAGAGCACACTGTGGTCGTATTTATGTCAAGGAAGGAAAAACTGTCTAACAAAAGCCCAGTTTGATAAATGACCACTGGTCAACCACTTGTGAATTTTGCCTGGTACCCAGGATGTATTTTATGCATAGGTTACCAGGCCAAAGTGGCCGAAGGCTTAAAAATTGTATTTTTAAAAATCAATTTAATTTGGCCGTAGCACTGCAGTCAGAGGTGTTGACAATTGTGAAGATTCCAGAAAACATTGCTATACAACCTCAGGCAAGATAACTTTTTCTCCTATGAGTTGACTTACAATTAATGGACATGAAAATGAGGGAAATTCACAATTTTTAACAAACCCCAATTGAGAAAAACAGTAAAACAACCAAAAAACCCCACCAAGAAAACAAAAACACCAGGAGAAACACCAAAAAACATAGAAAAATGCCAAATTACATGTACGTATATTATGAAGCAAAAGATCTTTACTGAAAAGCCCTTTTATTCTCCATTTGGTTTCCAATAACACCGTGAGCTGTGTTTACAATGTGGCAACTGTCAACTCATGAGTGGCATTTTCAAATATGAACTCATACAGACAATTCCAGTGGCATGTTAAATGACATGTATGGACACTGTACGTTTTGCCCATACTCTGCTTGTGTGCATGGTTTTCAACCCAAACAATCCCAAGTCTTCCTATTTCAATATGATTTTACATACGTCCTGGGGGGGGGTTAGGGTCTAACTCCACCCTGGCCTATGCAAAAGTGTTTGGTGGACTGCCAGTGAAATGCAAGTGCCCAAATGGGTTATGGCGCCCTCAACTGTCACGGCACGGAGCCAATGTCCCCTGCTCCTAGTTTCTTGAAACAAACAGTGGAACTTGCTAGTCTTCCACATATTTCGAAAAAAAAAAAGAAAGAAAAACCAAATTCTTAACACTCACAATCTGACAAGAGCCACATTGTTTGTGAAGACTTTACACGTACACATAAATGGGCATGTGCTTAAACAGTGCTGACGTCGTACATTGATACTGTGGCCCTTCACCACACATGTAATTGCTGTGCAGACCTTCGCTATAATTAAGCCGAGATTTGATGACATACATGTACTCGTGTTAGAGCAAAACGTGCACTTAAAGTGAATGATGTCAGAGTTTGATACAAATAACAAGGTTTAAGGAGGCATGTGTGCAGAAGATGTGCCAGGCCTTGGTAAGTTTTGACGTCATGGCAACTGTTGATAAGCAGTCATGGATACAAGGTGGTACAAGACGTGGGCAAGGTGGTCTGGTTCCACTCACAGACTAAGTACATGTAGGTGCAATGTCACATGGCTAACACTAGGCTACATGTTTGTGTACGATACACTGACCGTTGAAAGTTTGTCAACTAAAAGATAACAACAAAAAGATAACAAATTTAAGGTTTTTTTTTGTAATGTCACATCCACGAAGGAACTGGCAGTTATCATGTTGTCCAACATGATAACTGCCTGCCCATAATCACTACGTACATCTTGTACTGATCTTTTGTGGTGCAAACTGGAGAAACTATGGGGATAGGGTAATTCTTTTGAAAGACTGTGGCTTTTAGAAGCCACCTCACTGATTTACTATAAAGGCAGGGTTCCCACAGACATCTAAAAAACAAATTCCACGGCTTTCCACGACTAAAATATGACAATTTCCATGATATACTTGTATAATGCCATTTTGCAGAGAAAAGTTGTTTTGTACTATTTGAGCTGGAAGACTGCCACAGTGACTACTACAAAATGGCAACAATAAAGTCCATAAGTTTATCGAATTAAAAAGTGGCCCATCCCCCCCAAAAAAGTACGAGTATGATCTCGATTTCCATGATTTTTTTATTCTTCTGACAACTGGATTCCAGGATATCCTTTTCCTCCAATTTCCCATTAAGTTCTTGGACGAATATTATTCCCTAGGATTTTCCATGACCAGGAGAGCCGTGCAAGTCTGAAGAAATCCAAAAATAACATTCTTCAAACAGACTTCTTGCCTTTTGTACCTTGTATTTTTGTACTTCTATAGGCAGGATCATTTGTTAAAACACGACTCAAATTGCACGGTTCAATTGCCTACGAGTCTGGGCACCATTTTGGTCGGCACAGTGCTTCCTTGTACAACCTCGCAGCTGCGAAAAGACCACGTTAGCTTTAATATTCTGTCACATCCCTCACCTGTGTTCAGAGAGTCAAATGCCTCTTCTGTGACAGTGTAATGGAAGGTATGACAACTCTACATGCAACTCGTATGGTTGTTGACGTCTACATTAAAACAGGTGGCAAGCTTTCAATTGATCCCCCCAGAAAGTCACTTTCGAAACAACTTTCGGTCCCCAGGAGACACCATTTGTAACTTCGTACTTGAGGTGCGATTTACTATTTTTCACCTGCTAACAAATTGACAAGCACACCATGTCTGCTTCTGAGCCATTGCTTATTGCAAGCAGTGAACACAGCACATAACTGTAGCAAAATACCCTTCAAACAAGGCAAACAGCCAACACATGCTAGCATGTACTGCTTAAGGCTATGAAATATATTCATGTTTTAGCACTTTATTCAAGCTCACTTTTCCAGCAATCTGTTAAGCATAAAAACAAGCTTGCCATCATCAGTGCTCTTAGTTTATTGAGTTGCTTCCTAGCCAATGCTGCTTACCAGATTCTTAAGCTGAAACAAAATAGAACCGAGGAACAGTCACGGGCAGCACACATTGAAGTAGCACGGCTGGGACATGGGGCCAATTCGACAGAGCTGAGGAACACGGAAACTTGCTTTGCACAGGAACGGTATGGGGTAGGAAAATTGTAGTACCAGCCAAACAGCGTTGTGGTGAATATCAGGGGTGAACATGTACATTGAGCAGTCCTTTGGGAACCGGGTACCGTCATGAAGTAAAACTTGTGCACCCGGTTACCTGTGTAAGATGTGAAGAATGAACCGATACTGCCAATGCGGTCGTTGCAAATTTATGACCAGTATGCTCTTCAACAATTTCTGGTTGTAAACAACATTTCTTGTGGCGTAACTTATTTTCAAATTTTTTCTAACCATCTTTAAAAACTTTCTTTTCCTGTGGCTGAAGCAATACGAAGTGATTTTGGTTACAGGTACCCAGTTCAATAATTTAGAACATGTTCCTGGTATAATGACCATTATTTCAGTGCATAAAGACTTAATTGTATGATGTACTTTAGAAGTGCCCCTTATTATTATAGTTATCATCGTTAGGTGCCCGGGCCAGACCTGTAAATGACTCTCAGCTGATTTTTGCTTCGTGAATAAATTTCGTTTAGCAACATTTTCCATTTTATTAGCAGTTCCATTTATATCAGGCTCCTGTTCTAAGCACATTTATGTGCTGAGCAGCTCTGTGAGACTGGCCCCATGCTACTCTCAAATATGGTCGAGGCATTTTCTCTTGGGCTCCGGTCCTATTGTGTCCTCGTCAGATTCAGCTGTTGGACTTTGTGGCTCTCCATCTTCGGGTACTGGCTGGCCCTCCTCTTCTCCCTCTCTGGATTCTTCTTTCTCGGGCAGGTTGAGGCCACTTCTCTGGGTGGATGAGGCAGAAGAGCAGTGGCTTGGAGAGGAATATCCGTCGGCAAGCTCGGGGAGCTTCTCCATGTGGTTTGGCTCCAGGTACCTTAGCCTGCTCAAGCTTTGGCAGCGACGTAGGTCATCCTGAGGGTTGGGCATCCGGCCCACCTCAGTCAGGTTCAGTGCTGACTGCGAGAGGCGCTTGGTCAGGTGGCAGCGTAGGGCTTCCCGGACCTTGGCCGAGGACTCGCCGCTGAGGTGGGCCGTGACATCGGCGGGCGTCAGGTAGGTGTCGTGGTGGTGGTGGTGGCTGCTGGCGCTGATGTTGCCACTGCTCCTGCTGATGGAACTGCCGGCTTGGCCTGGCTCAGACCTGGGCTTGTGGATGGCTTTGGAAGGGACCTCCTCAGGAGGTCTGGCCAGGCTCAGGTCCATGCTGGTGCTCCGCTGCAGGATCTTGTACTTGAAGAATGGCTGCCAAGCCTTGTGCTTGGCATCTGGGTAGGTGGCCGGCTCGTTTATCCTAGGACAGCTCACCTGATCCCTGTGCTGTGAGAGTCGGTGGTGTCGCTTGCTGCCTGACCTGTGTGAACTGCTAGAGTCCAACTCTGAGTCCGTCTGTTTGTGAAGCGACTCGGGGAAAATTGAGGTCTGTTGTCTTCCGTGTCTCAAATCAAGGTGTGTGGAAGCATGTGTCAGGTGTTGACTGCCGGCTTTGCTTTGCTCACCATTGGAGCTGGAGCTTGCTTCTTGAGAACCATTGCTGCTCGTGGCACACGCTGCTCTCATGGCATAAAATGTATCCTCGGGAATGGGAACAGGAATGGGGATAGGGTAGGGTATGGGAATGAAGATGGGCTGGGGAACCATGACTGTTACTGGAGGTAGAAAGTGGCTGTAATTTGGAGCTGATGGCTGGCCACCTTCAGGCAAGCTTGATTTTTGTGGAGGTGCTGCAGTCTCTGATCCCTTTTTAGTTGCTGAGGCAGGTGCTTCAGGGTTTTTGGTGGACGGAGCTGGAAGGATACGTCTTGGGGCCTGGACGACTGGTGGCGATAGCTGCTGTTGCTGTTGGCTCGGAATGACGTAGCCGGGTATCTGTCGTACAACAGGGGGCCAGTGAGTGCCCCGGACCACCACCGGGGTGCGACCCATGACCTGTGAGTTGCCAACAACTTGGGAGTTGCCCACGATTTGGGAGCTGCCCACGCTGGGTTGGATGATGGTCTGCAAGCCGTACACCTGACCAGCAGGGTTGGGTGGGGTGACCCTGGTGGGGAAAGCAGTTGGCGGGGTAGCAGCAGGAGCTGCAGAACCGACTTGGGTGACCGTTGGGACTGGAGCGATTTGACTGCCGGCTGTGCTGACCTTGGGTGCGATGGCAACATGTTGCACACCTATGACGGTCCTGTTAGTGTGCTGTTTGGGTTTGGGCTGGGTCCGGGTGGCCAGAGCTGGCCAGTCCTGTCCTGGCTGAGCCGGCAGCCGGTGGATGCCGTTCCCCAGTACGAATGGCTGTGTGCTGCTGTCAGCCGCCACAGTCAACAACATGTTGCTGTCACCGCACTCAATCTCCTCTGAGCTGTTCACTGCTCCAGCCACGACGGATTCGCTCCCAGGAGTTGCCTGCTCTACGACGGCCCCCGTGTCCACGGCCGGCACTGCAGCGGCCCCAAGAGCCTGCGTCTCCTGGCAGAACACGTCCATCTTGTACTGGTGCAGGCACTTCTCGCTGCAGAACTGCAGCTTGCGCTCGCCATCCTGGAAGTCGATGTACTCCTTGGTGTGGCGGACGTGCCGGCACCAGTCACACACCTTGTTGCGGCGGAAGTAGGCCCGGCGACAGGCGGCAAAGCACTTCTCGCTGCAGAACGCCTTGGACTCCGTGGTCGTGTTGAGAGTGTACCTCTTGAAGCCGTAGTGCTGGCACCAAGCACACACAATCTCATATTCAGAACCAGTATGGTTTTCTGTGAACCGAAACGAAAAGATGACCTTCAACTTCAATTATACATGTTCTGGCAATGGATTCGGTGCTTTCGGGTTCATGAAATATTTTTTGGCGGTAGTGCAGTAAGCACAGGACGTTCATTGTAGGGGAAGAATTCTACAGTTAGCAGAGCCCCGAATTTGATCGTCGGGTCACTACACACCCTGTCTCCACTCAACTCACCCCCATCGCTACATTCTGCCGAAGTGCAGCCACTCCTGCCAGTACCAGAATTGTTGAAGTGGTCATCAACTGGGGAGCTTTGGCCACTAGTTTGGTAGTCACTGAGTTGTTGCTCGTTGATCTGAAGCTCCCCCATCTCTTGGTCACTGAGCTGGTGGTCGGCTATCTGTGGTTTGATGTCATACTCGTCCTCATTGTCCACTTCTTGCTTGACCACAAGGCCATGAGAGCCTATCTCATGATGGGGCAAAGGAAAGAAAAACAAACAAACAAAACAAGATCCATGAAATGGAATGATGTGTTCAACTGCCCCTTTAATCAGTGGCGAACTTGAATATCAAGTGTAAGTGAAAGACAGGATTTTATTGTGTGTCATGCCCAAGGAAATACACAAACCGCCTCGCGAGGAATGTAAACTTGGAAGATACTTTGCAGTTTTGGTGGCAAGTATTTGTGGCAACTGCTTAGACAACAACTACAACACTATACAGGTAGATCACATGCACAACAAAGTGACCCATTTGATGTTTTAGCCGACAGGGTGCCCCCTGATACCCAATAAGGCTATGTTGGACACCTAGGGCGTATTTGAAACCCCCTTCTCATGGGACTCACAAACAGTGTTCTTGGGGTGTTGATTATGAACACCGAAGTGCAAAAGGAGTGCAGCTGAAAGTCAAGAAAGCTGGAGTTGCCATTTTGACACCAAATGAAAAGATGACATGACATTTACCATTTCACATCAAATAAAATCCCCAAATGTCTATGTTAAATGGTCAGGGCAAATTCTCTCTGATAGCCACGAGTATTTGCCCTGGGTTTTGTCTAACACGAGAACAGGATTTCGAATACACCCCTGGGTTCGTTACACAAAATGTGTTAAGATGCATCAAAATTTCGGCATTTGAACATCCTGTTTTTTCACTTCAATGCAAATGTGGACACTCCAGGTGTCAAATGATTGCACCCCCCCCAAAAAAAAACAATTGCTGCTCCAAGGATGCACTCAGCCTCATGACCTTTTATTGTCACTGGGTGATAAATACTCCAGAACATTCCCAAGCTCCCGGAGACACAAGACACTTGGCAATGCTTGGCCACGGAGGGTCCAAGTGTTCAGAGCTCTGTAGTATCTAGTGACCAAGCACTGTAACAATCATCAGGTCTACCAAGTTCAGAGTGCCAAGGCTGACTGAAACAATCTTAGGCCGATGACTATTCCATTGCAAAATGTCTTTCTTTCCAAATCAGGAACTCCGCTTCGCAAAATCGATATCAACTGAAACAGGGAGCAGAGCTTTCATTTATTTTGCACAAAAGTCTAAAAATTAAACACAAACAGGCACATACATGTATCGCATTTTTCCAACAGCAAAGATGTGTACAGCATTCTCTCTTACTTTTCTGCTGTCTGGCATTTCTTTTCTGAACACAACGATGCTACCCAGGATATTTTCTAAAACACTGAAGATCACTGAACTACATGTATTTAACCTTAGCAGTCCCGAATGCTACAAAGTAAAATGTAGTACTCAGCCCTGTCGCTTGTAAGAGGACATGACATTATTATTCTCTGAAGCCATAAAATACAATAGATAAGACAATGTACCATACAGTGCTGTGGCACTATGAATGCATGGTTTCATTGTTGTCTGTACGAGTAACAATGGAATAAACCTAGCCAGAAATAGTAATTTGTAGCACTAGGTCCTTCAGGCTCAGAGTGTTACGTAGTATTTTGTAGTACTGAGTACTCTAAACCAAACAACGCCCGGTACTGTCAGGGTTAAGCAATTTCTTTCAAAGACTCTATCAAGACTAACAAGCATGACCTTCCATCAGATGTGCACGAACAAGAAACCCAAGATTTATCTCCACTGGCACTGAAAACAACTACAGTAGATCTACATGTACATGTAAGACTTTCAGCTTTTAACAGCGTTAAGAACAGCAACCACTGGAATTTCCTCTGCATGAATGAAGGGACACAGCAAACCAAATCACCAGCAAAGGTCCCCAGCAGTTCCAGTGTCCCATACCTTCTGTCCCCTTTTCGTCATCTTTGTCCGAGAAGTGGTGCAAGTGCAGCTCCCTAGTCACACCCTCTTCAACTTTGTCATAGCCGTAGATGGCTAGCAGTTCGTTCATGGTGTCCTCTGCGTAACCCTGTGGCCACAACAGACAAAAAAAAAAACAAGGCCAAGGATACCTTAAGATACGCACCACCTCTTCACCATCCCATATCCTTTAAAATCTACGGAGAGATGTCATGGGATTTTGGAGGACTGAGAAATTTACAGAACAAAACTAACGGGTGCATTTCAAATTCCGGGATGTGACTTTCCCTTACAGGATGAAGTACAGTAAACTCTGACTAAGTCGGCATCGCGTAACTCGTCACATCGTATAAGTCGGCCTTTTGACAAAAGTCTTGACTGTCTGTAATGCATTTCCATTGAAAATTTCATTTCTAAGTCGGCATTCATGAGTTGTCATTTCATATCAGCAGCATGTCAGCATATGCAAGTCAGCATGTTTTTCTCGGTCCCTTTTCAACAAAACCACAACAATTCCTTTGTGTAATTTGGCTTTAAAAAGAAAATCTTGCTTCGGTATCAGTTTCCTTCGCCATGGTTGCCAAGAAGTGTCAAGTGACAGGTCCAACACTGCTTGACTGATGCCTGTTTATTAGCAGAACAGGCTGGGGTTGATAATCAGCCAGCATGAATACCATGAGTACATTCTGGGGGTCGCCTTAACCACTTCCTGCCGGGGATTCCAGATCTGGACACGTATGCTTTAAATGTGTGGCCGGGGTCTCCGAACTCAGACAAAGGGAACAGGGCCTTGTAACAAAAGACCGTACTCAGAACAAAAGACCAGGCTGCTCCACCACCGCTGCATGCTAATCTGGCCCCTATTGAAAAGAGGTCAGCACCGCACTGAGCCAGGTTCGTGAACAAAATAAAGTTATATAACACCGCACAATCTGGGCTCTTTTTACAAGGCTGCAGACCTGGCTGAAATACTCAGGCGTCAATAGATTTTGTCTGTCAGGCTAGACTGAACACCAGACAGTCCTTCACGTGTTTGTTAGTGTCCAGTAAATAAAGATAGGAATATTTTAAGAATTTTGAAAACAGAAAAAAATGATAAATATCCCGCCCCAGCATCAACAACATTCATAACTGCCCCGGCAGGAAGTGGTTAATGAACAAACCTAACCAATGCGCGTGTGGATGAGTAAATGTTTTCTGTACCATAACTGTATCACGTACATGTATGTACTGCACTGTCGAGTCGTGATGTGATATGCAAGTGGCTTGCTGTCCTTGC